CTGCAACCGCATTTCACTGCCAAGCATGTAAAAGCCTGAGCATCCTCCTCCTTGCCAAGATGGTGGGAGTTTCGTTACCGAAATATCAGCGCAATTGATCGATGTGAAAAAACTGGATTTGAGCTCGTTCGCGCTCACAATTGATTTATACATTTACATTTGGTGGTCGGAACCTCGCATCTATGGACAATAGAACCTCGCATTCTCAATAACGGACGGAACCTCGCATTCTCAATAACGTCCCTCAAACGGTGCCCAAAATACCTGGCATATGGCTGCCCATAATCATCTTAGAAGACAACTCAGGCAGCACCGTGACTGTCACTGAACATTCTAAAGCACTATCCATTCAGAAGCGAGGAATGCCAATAAATAACAGCGTCAACCATTCTTCAGAAGGTCATGTCTTGCAGTATTATGCAAGACTGGGAATAACTTCATATCAATCATTCAACAAAACAGATCGAGCAAGAGGCAGTTGGCATGCGATGCGTCGGAAAAATTGCTGCTGATTTCATGAACGAAAACATGTGGTACAGTCCAGTCTGCTTAGCCAGTAATTGACAAACTGTTCAATATTAGTAACTAATTTCAGTAACTCATTGGCTTGTAAAAAAGAGCTTAAAAATGGACTTAACGGGCTTCAAGAATGCTAGTATTTTGCTAGAGGCATTCATAATAAGTCTTCGAAGCCATCGTATAAGTGTAATAAGTGTTCCAGGCCTTCATCCTTGAACAGCAACGTGGAAAATTTCTTAATAAGGGGAGCGTCTGGGTGCTGAAAAAACTTTTTTGTTTACAGACGGATCGTTTTGAAACTTGGTACTCATATGTAAAACAGAATTCTAAGACTTTTTTGTTCGTTTGAATTTTTCGAAAAAAATGAAAAAAAACGTGATATTCTCAGAAAACGGAAAAAGGGGGTACCGTAGAAAACTATCTCCTCCTAGGATTTCGATGCTACAACATTGAGACGCATATCATTCGATGCGTAAGGACCATATCTATCGATTCGTCGTAGCTTTTTTCGAATTTCGAATTTTTGTGGATGGGGGAGTATTTTTCGCAAAATTTTCGAAAATTTTTCCATTTCCCCCTTTTTTCAAAATAATTTCAAAACTATGACGAAATTGGAAAAAAACTACGACGAATCTCTAGATAATTCAATTGCGAATCGAATGGTATATGTCTCATCGCTGTAGCTTCAAAACTTTAGGAGGAGATAGGTTTGCAGTAACAAACAGTTAATTGTTCAGTAGAGCCTGACAAAGTCCCGGGCGCCTCGAAATAAGCGTTCAAGGTGGCAAGAATGCAAGACTAGGCGATACTGGAGCTCAATTCCTGTCAAGGATGGTGTGAACGACGACACGCAAACCCTCCCGTACAACTGCAGGCGGGTAACTGAAGCACATCGTATGTTATGTGGATTGTGGACTAGCTATTTAAGTATGCTACCGGGGATTTTCGCCTATCCGAAATGTGAAAGAACTCCACCACCCCCACCCTTTCGCGATCTGTCGTGAACGCATAAATCAACTTACAGAAATGGTTTTGGTACCGTTGAATAGAGCAGAATGTCAGCTTTAAGACGAGATTAAAAACCGGAAAAGCCAAAATTCAACAATTTTGACCAGACGCTCCCCTTAAAGATTGATCCTCACGATAACTCTAAGGCCTCATTCGTAAAAACAAAGAATAATTCAGTAAATCAAATTCAGGACAAGGTTTGCGTACCTGGGATGAGGCTCCGGTGCTGCCAGAAGCCTCTGAAGGGTGCGACGCCGGTGCCTGGTCCCACCAGGATGATGGGCCGACGGCTGTCCTCCGGCAAGTGGAAACTTGAGGCTCTGAACAAAGTAAACACAACCGACATCACAATAAAACTTGAGGCTCTGAACAAAGTAAACACAACCGACATCACAATAAAACTTGAGGCTCTTGAGGCTCTGAAACTTGAGGCTCTTGAGGCCCTGAAACTTGAGGCTCTGTAACAGATCACTTTCAACTCTGAAACTTGAGGCTCTGAACAAAGTAAATACAACTGACATCACAATGAAACTTGAGGCTCTGAAACTTGAGGCTCTGAAACAGATCACTTCCAACTCTGAAACTTGAGGCTCTGAACAAAATAAACACAACCGACATCACAATAACCATTGATGTGGAATAACAATAACATTGACGCGTCGATTATTCGTACTGGGGTCGCATAGGTTGACCCGAGTTTCACAGCTCATTAATGAGTATAAAGTCGAAGGTTATTATTTGGCGCACTAAAATTCACGATCAACAGCCAGTGAGCGTATTTTTTTTACCCCTTTAACGGAAAAATGCTGATATGGCACTAAATCGGATGTAAATACATTTAAAATTAGCAAATTAAATATCAAGACTGTTCAGAAATTGCGTAGAAACCATTTACACAAAGAAAAAAATGTCACGCTTGATTTTTCATTGCAGTCATCCACTTACTTCCTGACGAAGCACTGCACTTCGTCGCCAGGCTTCAGCGATTTTAAGTAGTTCGAGCAAACGCCGAAGTGCAGCGGACCTTCACCGTCTGAAAAATTAGTAGTATCATAATTAAGTAGTTTCATATATACACTGTTAGGTATAAACGGCAAAAGAACGTTTGGGCCAGAGTTTCAGCGGCAGTTTGCCTCGTGAAATAAAGCCTTGTGACTATTCATTTAGAAGTCAAAATATGAAACCGAACCAACATATGGTCGAATTTAATGAGAAGGCCGGCTTCTTAGAACGCCGGTCCGACCTGTATTTCACTGTTTTTTTTAGACCATAATAGTCCTGAAAACATAGTCTCAGATTCTTGTATTGCTTTAGCCGTTCAATTTAAAATTGGTTTGGGGGATAAATTGGGTTTTATTCTAAGGCATGACTAATGAAACAAATTGAAAATCGCTAATCTGTGAAAACCGCAAGACAAAAAATTAGATACGCAGAATAACTCATTTTTAGTTTTTTATAAAAGTTGGTATTTAAGACGGACAGTAATTCTTAGGAATTTCATCAAATCGAAGCATCAAATGACGAAACTGTTGACTTAATAGACATCAGAGACGATCCTTCTACTACAAACTCCCCAAATTAAGACTCATTAGTGATATAATTTGTAGTCCTTATGTCAAATAAAAACATAAATGTACTACGAATGTAATTGATTCCAAACGTTGTCAATAAAATTTTCTTGGTTACTAGCCTCTACCAGTGATCAAACCATGAGAGAACATCGGTAAATCATAGATATATACGAAAATTTTCAAAGCAGTTTCATGCAAATTTACATCACAACTATAATGAAAGTTTGGATCACTTCTTATCTAATGTCTGTTGATGAATATTTGATATATTACAATTACATGAATCGGCAGCACCGACACTCCAGTCTCATTATTTCATCATGAGTGAAATCTTATGTGCGTGAAACATCATGCGGATATCCCAAGTTATTGAACACAGTCAATATGTTGTAGCATAGATGGCAAGGAGTAACGATTCAAGAAAATTCACATTACCCAATACCGATCATATAGTTTTTGTGTAAACAAAGTACGTTTGAGGAAAATAAAGTTTACTCGAGTAAACTAAAGCTAAAATTGCGAAAACTGAATTTAAACTTGGGGAAATTGAAACTAAACTCGTGGGAACTAAAGCCGAACTTGAGAAAACTGAAACACAACTCGGCTAAACCGAAAATTCGCCTGACGGAACTGGAAATGCGCCTGAAGAAACTGAAAATGTGCCTGAAAAAACTAAAAAAGTGCCTGAAGAAACTGGAAACGTGCCTGAAGAAACTGGAAACGTGCATGAAGAAACTGAAAATGCACCTGAAGAAACTGAAAATGCGCCTGACGAAACTGAAAATGCGCCTGGAGAAACTGGAAACGTGCATGAAGAACTGAAAATACACCTGAAGAAACTGTAAATTCGCCTGACGAAACTGAAAATGCGCCTGAAGAAACTGAACATGCGCCTAAAGAAACTGAAAATGCGCCTGACGAAACTGAAAATGCGCCTGACGAAAATGCAAATGCGCCTAAAGAAACTGAAAAAGTGCCTAAAGGAACTAAAAAAGTGCCTGAAAAAACTGAAAATGCGCCTGAAGAAACTGAAAATGTGCATGAAAAAACTGATAATGTGTATGAAGAAATTGAAAATGCGCCTGAAAAAACTAAAAAAGTGCCTGAAGAAACTAAAAAAAGTACCTTAAAAAACTGAAAATATGCCTAAAGAAACTGAAAATGCGCCTGACGAAACTGAAAATATGCCTAAAGAAACATAATAACTTAATGTAAGGAATCTTACCTGCATAATAACTTAATGTAAGGAATCCTACCTACATGATAACTTAACCCCACAACTGAAACCAACGGTCAGACACCGCGAGCTCAGCGGTGGGGCGCTCAGGAACAATCCTGTTGTAGGGTGTTATTTTTAACATTTGTATATTGTATTATTGTGAGTTCGCCTGTCTCACGCTAGCCTTGTATTATTTAAGTATTTCCTCGTTAATTATTTAAGTTTTGTCATGTTTTCTCATGTTTAATTTAGCGGATTTCTCGCTGAGACAATGTGTCGTTAGTCAGTGGCGGGTTGATCCGGGAGTCTTTTAGCAGTGTTACACGTGTGCGGACCTTTTAATCCCGTTATGCTGGTCGTGCCGCCCGAACACATGTTATCCGTGTAACTGTCTGTTCTCTGAATAAAGCCTATTTACTCTTGATTGAACCACGTTTCCTTGAACCAACGGAACGAACGACCCGACAACAATCCCTCTAGTTGTTTTTCTTACAACTAAAATGTCAGAATTTCAGCTAGGAATATATTCAAATATATTCAAAATTTAGTAGAACTCGGAATATTCAAGCAGATATTACCGATAGTGATGAGAAACATTAGTGGTGGGCTTCATGCTAGAAAAAATTGAATTCTGATGTGTCAGATAAAACCTGTGAATTTCATAATCTGATAATAAAAACCAGTAAATTTCATTATTTATTAACCAGATGATCAAACCACAATACGGAGAGTGAAATAACCGAGACTTATAGTTAGAAATTCCAGCTTATAACATATATAGAGACGCACAACAACCAGAGCATTTGCAACGTGTTTAATAAATGCCATAATATCGCATAAACACTTGTGAAGAAGCAATAAAAATATTTAAGTATCTATTCATAACTTATCTTACCGATAAAATGCCAGCAAAGTCATAAGTCGGGGTATTGTGGTATGTGTAATTCGGAGGACTTCCACTTCCTTGAACATGTTTAATGAATTTTGAAAATAAATTGCAACATCTGAGAATACGTTTTAATCTCAAGAAAAATATAAGATTGAAATCAAGTATAATTGCTCAAAATGTTTAAACAGGCAAGTATATCGAGATAAAATTTTCAAAATTTACATAACGAATCTCGTTTTTTCCAATTTCATACAATATAAAAATGAAAACAACTTTAGAATGAGTGAATGCATTTACCGCGAGAACCTTATAGTTTTATACGATACTCGTGATCTTTGAAATTACATTCAAAGTAAAGACAAAGGAGCCTTAACCTTCACATGCTGAAAGATTAAACAATAAAATTCGTCTGGTATTTTCCATGATCCGCTTGAAAGATACTGTACAGTTAATAATCAATTCTCACTACATTTAACTTTCTTAAATTATATTCAACATATAAAAAGTTTCAATTCACTTAATTCAGTATTTTTGTTGATTCGTCAATGACTGTAACAATGAGTCTACTAGCATTCAAGGACCAAATTTCAAGCGTAAAATAAAATATATAGGTTACTGAATATACTGTATATATACTGTATACATAGGTTACTGAAGCATGAAAATTAAGCAACAACCCAAACCTTTGCGCACTGTCTTTTTTGGAAACTGGAAAACTCCAATGACCAAATAAGGCTGTAATTTTTCTGAGTGCTGAAGGAAGCATAAAACTAAACCACCATTATTGACCCTTTTAATCACTATTCAAGTAGATGCATGGGGTAATACGAGTAAAAACTAAATGTGTAGAGGTAAAACGAGTCCAGCAGATGTATGTTCATATACATAATCTAAGTAGCACTTTGCTGAGAAGGCAATCAACTTCAGAAGATTATAAGTAACTAATTAATATAGCAAAACCCAATCACCTTTAATTGTTGTTTCCTCAGCAAGGACGACGGATTTGTTTAATTGGCGCGCTGCAATAAACTATGGGCTAGGAAGCACTACGCATAATTCTGAATAAACGAGAAAAAAACACGAATAATTCATATCATAAAATAAATAATTCGTAACAAATGACATGCGAATTCCTGATTAACGATTAAGGCTACTGATTGCCCTGAATTATATCGAATTATTTTTGCACAAACATTCATACAAATTTAACATAAACATGATATAATTCTTAAACATCAAGTATTGAGTAGTCATTTTTGATAATTTTGTGTAAGACACAAAATTCAACACAGACAAAATTTTGATTTGAAATCACTACAAATATTGCTTAACCATATATATTGTCATATCAATTGTTAAGCACACTCTTTAACAAATTTTTGGTTGCTTCTTTGGTTGCTACAAGCCATTTATAGTTAATTGATTTATTGATAAAAAAATCGCACCGCGAGCACAAATAAGTTTCGGTTTCATTTGGCAACACAACACACATTAAAAACCCTGCATTCAAATCAATGATATTAGCAAGCAAATTTAAGGCTTGTGCCACAGCGATTTTTGCGATTGTCTTGAAGGGCTTGACAAACCTAAGGTCCAAGCTTCGAAGGAAAACTGCACGCATGTTAATGGAAATTTAATGAAAACCTCTGTCGAGCTTAAAATTGCCAGCATACTATTAAAATTGTTGTGTAAATCAAATAATTACACGAGATGCCATTGAAATACATTGTAGTGAAGGAAACATTAACTGATTATACTTTGAGCGTTCATTGTTTCTATTTTCATATAGAGCCGGTATATATATTGAAGATTTTAGAAAATGTTTGGGTGTATATACAAAGACACCGAATAACATTGTCCTTTTCCAACAGTAGAACTGGTGCTTAGAGAAGTCAAAATACGGAAGTAAGTCGGCTTCCCAATCATTTGTGATAATAACAATACATTAACATTGAAAGTGCCCGCAAGAAAGTTAACAATAGTTTACATTCGCAACGAACAACGTTACACTTCTACTCTTTTCTTTTACTAAATGACGCGAAAAACGCAGACGCTCGTACTTCAACTTTCTTCCAAAATTCTTGAGGAAATCCGAGTCCAGAAGCCGATGTCTTACCATTGCCTTCATGCGTCTGCTTTTTATCTTGCCAGTCGCCGGGCGTGGCGCCGAGGGATAACAGACTGCAGTGGACGTTTTCCTTCGAAGCCTCCAGATCTGACGGAGCTTTAAGCTTTGATCTAACGATCTGAGGAGATGCACTCATCGACCGAACGTTAGGAGAAGTTTTCTTTCCTGCGATTTCATGCTGAAGATGTCTTAATTTATCGTAAATTTCGCAGGGTTCATCGGTGGTACCATCATACTGAAAATCATTCTGAATGGAGGAGCTGGTGTCAACTGTTCGGCCTGAGCCATCCGCATACCGAGATTTGATGGGCAAGCTAATAGGGTTTTTACAATTTTCGTCAAGAGAAGATTCTAATATTGTTACGACCTCTGCTGGAACACTTAAGGGACTTGGATCACAAGCACTGGTTTTAATTTTTACGCGCCGTAATTTCAGGCCCGCTTCACCACTATTGCTAAACGATTTTGTTCTGGCCCCTGCTGGTACACCGTCATTCTGACAAGAGACGACATGGTCAATTACGCTGGGAACGTCAGTCTCCAGACTATGGTTACTAAGTACATGCTCCTCCGAAGCCCCACATGCACAAACACCATGTTCGGAGTTTCCCTCTTGAAGTGGAAGATCGGGTGGTGTCTGCTGGGGATTGGCTGTGTATCACTCCTGAGTCAACTTGGGGCCACCGCTCAAAGTCTGGGCCAGCGGTAGGCGACTACGGGCGCTCTCTCCCTTCTCCTTGTGGATCTCCTCAGTGCGCAGCGTGATGCCGAATATGTCCTCGTGGTAACGGCTATCGTCCTGCAATGAGGAAAGTGAACAAATGTGTTGAAAAATTGCTTTCGAGGAGCCATAGGTCTGAAGCAGTGAAGTACGGGAAAAGGAAGGTATAGTCCCGGGGCTTGCTATAAAACAATCTATAATGATAGAAAAAACGCAGGAGCTTATTTTCAGTATTTTTTTGGCACTAAACTACTACCGCATGACAGACACTATTGGATATTTCTCCGCGTATCAGCGCCAATATTTAACTATATAGTCATTAGTCTCTCCCTACATTCATGCGTTTCATCAACAGAAAGTTAACCTTATATTCATCTTGTTTTGTAAGACTTACTCTCAGTTGGAGCATAAAGTTTTCAACTTGTTGTTCGTTGCGCTTTGTGTGCTGAAGGAAGATGTACTTGAGTTTCTGGAAGACATGTTCGGCCATGGTACAGTCGCCGCAAACATAGAAGTGACCTTGTTCCTCCTCCAAGATTTTCACGATCTCCCGACCATTTTCTACAAGTTGGTCTTGCACGTACATCTGCAGGTTAGAAAAATTAATTTATATTAAATATGGTAGCTCATCGGATTCAACCCACTGTTTCAACTATTCAAGTATTTTTAAAAACTCAAAAGCAAACAACAATATAATTAGAAAATAATGTAGTTAAATATTCATTTTTTCATGTGAAAAAAAGATGTAATAATCCAAAGACTTTTATAATATAGTCGGTCGCATCAATTTCAATATTTTTTTTTGCTTTATCTGATATCTAACAGAGGGAAATTACCGTCTGTAAATACATCTCATATAGAAGATAGTCTTTAAATAAGTTTCTACCTATCATTTCCCTAGCGCAATCAGAGACTATACCTACAACAATCAATATTGCGTCTCCAAATAAGCTTTTACTTTGCATTTGAATTATACAAGCTTACAAGAAAAAGCTTAAAAAATAGTTTTTGACTATTATTTAATATCTAGAAAAGACACTTACTGTAAGAAAAGACTGAAAGATTCATATATAAGTAAATCTCGACAGTAAATAGGATTCATCTTGACAATCAACAGCATACTTGCCTTTGGTACTCCAGGTTCCCTTGAGAGCGCGAGGTGTATGTCTGTCAAGACCCCTGCAGCCAACATCTCCTGTTTCTCTTCAGCGTACAGGTCGAGCGCGCGGGTGCGGCAGCCGAAGTACAGACTAATCTTCCCGCGCTGCGGCGCTATAAAAATCAATAATATGGTTATAATATATAACATATTATAATCACAAGGCATCAATCAACGGTGTGGACAAAAACCGATGTATTTTATGGCTGGGTAATCGAGCGAGAAATAACAGTCTTCGGTTGAAATATACGTAACGCTTTAGACTATGAACGCAAGCAATAACATAAGCTTCACTGTATACAAGCACTGAATAGTGTCGAACAATGCTTATGAAATATGTGGACTCGTGTACTTTAAGTCGCAGAAGAGTAATCAGAGTATAATGATGAGAATTAATTATATCGCTGCTGCTCATGTGACCACGATATTAGAATCGTATATTTATATTTCTTGACAGCATTTCATTCTATTCAAGGTCTGGGGTATTTAATTCCAATTCACCTTCAATTTATCATAAACCCCGAATAAATTTCTTGCAACAATCAATATTGAGTCTCCAAATAAGTTTCTACCTTACATTTAAATTATACAAGCCTTCAACGAAAAAAATTTATAAATGGTTTTTGACTACTATTTAATTTCTACAGAAGACACCTATTATAAGAAAAGACTGAAAGATTCAAGGTGTTAAATTTCGTTCATATTTCTACACAGACGTAGATCACGTAAGACACGTCGTCAACTTTTTTAAATATTACTTTATTTTCAAGATGTTTTGGGGCCAAACACAGGCAAAAATTTATCTATATCAAATTTAGTACACAATTTAAAAAGTATGTTATAATTATTCCATTTTTCAGGCGGGTGTGTACCCATAACACTGTTCGATGCCACAAATAAACACGAGATCTTGACGTAATCATCAATAATCTCGTTATTAGATTAATGATCATTTTGCTCCGCAAAGCATTTTTTATTATAATCGACGCAATTGCATCCTCGAGTAAACACATCCACTGCCGCCTGTAACTGCGTTCATTACCAATTCACGTTCTGTGTGCTGTTTGTTATACATTAAGGTCGTCGACTCAATTTAAATTATTGAAGTTTTGTCAAATATTTGCCAGCAATAACGCTAAGCAGATCATTAGTCAACAAACGATACGTGATGCGATGTTGAATATCTCGACTCTTTCCATAATATTAATATTATCAGGGCCTCTAAAATTATAGGCCTGTATGATCCAATATTACATTATAATAATTGTAATCATAATTATAAACAAGTATAATATTAATTATAATATAATTTTCATTACTCGTATAAGCCTGTAAGATCAATCCACACTAAAATCCAATTCACGCTAAAAAGAAGACATGAAAACAAAGCAAGTAATATTTTCTTATTCACGAAGACTTCAGGCAAAGCATATTGTTTTAAATTCATCGTGTGAATTAAACACGAAGAACTTCTAAGGAATACAAGTTCTACAATTGTTTATACTTTTTAATCACCAAAAATGTTGTAAATAAATTAAGTTTTTTTTTAAAGTTACCAAAATATTAAAACTGACTTATTGAAATTGAATGATTTTATTCAGTTTGAAGTTACATTTAGCAGAAGTCTTCATATCACGCGGTACAGCAAGATGGAACACATTCAAAGCAATATTCAGGTAAACAGAAAACGATTGACTGAATGTCTGACTGCAAACGCTCCGTGCAAACAACTCAATGAAAATTACAAGCCTCAGGACATAACAATAACGATCGATAGTTCCATCATTAATGTCGCAAACAATAACGATCGATAGTTCCATCATTAGTGTCGCAATCGATTTGTACACAATACCATGAAGACTGAATAATGTCTGGTCTGCCATTGACTTCTAAACGGTGCTGACGGCACATGTCGAAATCCGACATGGTCGCTTTTTTCAAAACATTCACCCTGCTCGTCCTCCAAGTGCAAGCTTCGTCAAAATGTAAGACCTAGTTATACAAAAAACAACACGCGATGATCAATATTCACCGTTGAATCAATTCAGTACAATCCACTTCATTAACAGAACACGCTTTATTGTCACAAAGCTCATTGGTACCAAAAGGTGGAGGTCACAGTACATGCAATAAAGCTTTACCTTTATGCACCCTATGTTTCTTTCCCAAAATGCTTAAATTCGTTTCAATTCGTCGATACTACCATATCACTCGTTTCTTCCAAATCCCAACTTTTTCCGAAAATCGCCTATAGTTTGAGGTGCCCCATAGCAAAAAAATGGAATGTTGTACCTCACCTCGGGAAGACTCAATTGAGCCGCTGACTTGCACCCAAGGTGCTCCATTGCGAAATACTGAATCTTGTGTCATTTCTTCCTTCCTTCCAATCTAACGCCCAAGAAATTGTGAAATTTTCTCTTTGGATTCCTCAATTTAAAAGAAATAATTGTGTGTTTTTTTCAGTGATCGAACCGCAAACTTTGGTCATGTTTCACCCTAATGATACCATCGACGACAGCACCATGCTGGATGCTGGGACCGAGGCTGTACCCGACTTATGGCAGGTGAACGAATCGCTTACCGCGTGGCCATTTCTTGCAAGTAATTCATACTTTTAAAGTAAAGAATGAAAAAATTGAAAATGAATTTTGCTCAACATAGCATTCAATAACAATTATCTCACGACAGTAAAGTAAAGAAGAGAATGAATGTAGTAAAGAATGAAAAAATTTTAGTAAAGAATGAAAAAATTTAAAATGAATTTTGCTCAACATAGCATTCAATAACAATTATCTCACGCTGTTAAGCATATACGATTAAATTTGAATAAAAAGGTCAAAAAGAGTTCACCATTCTCCAACACAATAAAACATTGGGATGCCTGCTGCTTAGTACATACATAATAGCCATATTTCTCATTTTTCGTTCAGGAGTGCGAAAAAGTTTAATTTGTATTAAAATTCACGAATTTCTAATCGCTAACATAGTAAAAACTTCCATCGTTTATGATTGGACCGACAAGGTCCATTCATTTACATTTTATTGTTCAATTTATTCAAATAAGTACCTATAATTGCACAATAATAACAACAATGTTGTAAAATTCGCGTTTGTCAACAGTTCAGTTACTGCGTGAGGTTCTATTTGACAAGATTCAGGCAAGGCCACACGGTATTCTTCAGTTATTTCCAGGACGACTCTGACTTGACGATCAGTAAGTAGACGCGAGTTCACGCTTGCCGCCAGAGTAACTGAACTGCAATGCAAGTTTATTGTTTTATGCTCCAGTTACATCTTCCACGTTTATTTAGGTGTACTCTATGAAACAGGTGTGCATGATCATAAGACAAATTTCATAAAATTCCAATGCCTCCAGTTTATACGATCTCTCTTCTTGGCTGAATTTCAATTTTTTCTTTGACATCGTTGCTACCTTCTCGGTTGAATTAATTGAATTTGTTTAATTATCTGCTTAATTTCGGCTAGAAATAATCTTTGACCAGCAAATCCGCTGCAAAACATGAACTTTAAAATTTGTATAGATATCTTGTTCTCAAAATGAATTCATTAATTTCTGTGAACAGAGCACGACTCAGACTCGAAGAAAATCTGGGTGCAAATTGAAGCCATAGGAATCGAACACGAGTCCTTTTCTGTAGATGAGCTCAGGAGGTTGCGCTGGCATTCTCTATGTGCTTCGGTTAGCATTTTAACTAACACGACAACAAAGACGAGATTCGCCTTCGACAACCAGGTAACATGTATACAGAGTAATAAGTTTACAGTGATACAACCTATATATGACTGTGCTTGTTATACAGATATTTGAACAAAATATTAAATAATTGATTTTTAATCACTCTATAACGTTCGTAAAAAGCGGAAAAATTCACGTCGATTAACGAGAGGCATATTGTTGAAAATAATCTAATAGTATTTAATACAGCTTTGTGATAACATTTATAAATTGAATAAGGGTGAAAATCCATTCTGAGTAAGCACCGAATAATAATTGTTAAGTAGTATTGGTCTGATTCGTAAGTGAACAAAACGAACTAAACTAAAAAATTCCGGAATATAATATAACATAAAATGAAATTCAGAAGTCAAGGAAGTTACTAAAATAACTTCAGTTGCTGTATACATACTGCAACATTCGCATAAAGGTTATCCCTGCAGACGTATGAGAGGACGCTTGCAGTAGGCGGGCAACCGTTGAAGGGAGGAGGTCGATTCGTGATCGGACAAGAGTTGGACTCGTTAGAGGGAGGTTTCAACAAACATCAGGCCTTCATCGGATACCAAACTGATATGTGGTTCTCGAAAAAGAGTATGCCTCTTGAGCAAATGAAGGCTTACACCGCGGACTGCAAAGCTTTCCAGGACAACGATAATGTATTACTGAACTTCCAAGAGAAACTGAAGAAGTTCGAAATGAAAGGGTTAGTAGTGAAATCCACAATAAGAAGAGAAGAAGTTTGTGACGCGCGAAAGGAATTTGTCATACCTTTCGTAAAAGCAGTAACTTTCGACACGGCGCAGAGTACGTGCAGAACATTGGGTGGCCGACTCTTTTACCCAAAAAGCGAAGAATCCGAACTAGCGTTCCTAAGAAACTACGACTATGTTTCGAAGGGATGCTTAGGAAGTATGTCCAATTCTTTCTGGTACGGAATAACATTAGATACAGAGAATGGACAATGGAAATCATTTTCTGATAATCTACCAATAGAGTACGACAACTTCAGTATTGGATTTAATGAAACTTCCGAGAATAGGACTTGTGTGTCGTATGACAGTCGCGACCATGTGTGGGACCCTTTGCGTTGCGACCAAACAGCGTGTCCAGTTTGTGCTTTCGATGATGAAAAAGAATTGAGAGTTTTAGGTTTATGCGCTGGTTCTCAATTAGAAAATAGCCTGATTGTAGACTCGTTACATAAAAGCGTGTGGTCCTACTCATCGCCATTTCTGACGAGACTCTATTTCGATGGATTAAAATGGATCTTGACGAACATCGTGGATCAATCACAAATAACTTTGGTCTCAAGCAAGAATAATCGACTACCACTCGGCGTGTCCACTTGGAAAGGGCAAATAGGATGTGAAAAGTCGGAGGTAGTTACATTATTTGCTTTTATACTATAAGATCATGAAAAAAATCAATAATTATCCAAAGAAAAATCTTCCAAATCTATCGGGTATAGGAGAGAAAAAACTTGTTTAATCTGATATTAGATCTGATATCCGAATTAAGTAAATTCATGCATATTTTGTGATTTTTTCCCAACAGCTGGAGTTAACATTGACAATCTGTAAACCGGAGGAAGAATGGACTTGCGCAGATGGAGAGTGCATTTCGAAAACTCAACGCTGCGACACCAGCCTCCATTGCGCCGACGCTTCTGATGAGGCTGGCTGTAACCGCATTTCACTGCCAAGCATGTACAAGCCTGAGCATCCTCCTCCTTGCCAAGATGGTGGGAGTTTCGTTCCAGAAATATCAGCGCAATTGATCAATGTGAAAAAACTGGATTTGAGCTCGTTCGCGCTCACAATTGATTTATACGTTTACATTTGGTGGTCGGACCCTCGCATCTATGGACATTTTCTCCATAACGTCCCTCAAACGGTGCCCAAAATACCTGGCATATGGCTGCCCATAATCATCTTAGAAGACAACTCAGGCAGCACCGTGACTGTCACTGAACATTCTAAAGCACTATCCATTCAAAAGCGAGGAATGCCAAAAAATAACAGCGTCAACCATTCTTCAGAAGGTCTAGTTTGTTTAGCATTTAATTTTTTTTTGCTATGAGCAGAGAAATACTAATGTTCCTCTCTCCGCTATAATTTCATTTATTTCATTAGCTTCAATGATATGGTCATTTAACGATATTATCTGTACCACCCATTAATTAAGTATTGTAAATTGAAATACTACGCATATGACCCACCCTTTGCTTTAGCCGTTTCATTATAGACGATAACTATGACATAAACACTAACTATAATATAGGTCAATTATCACAATTATTAGAAAACTAAATCATGAGACGTAACTAGCACACATTACGAGTTAAAATTTAGTCATAGATTCAATTGCAACACCGTCTCAAAATCATAGGGAAGATTAATAATGATTCCTTGAGTAAATAATAATCTCAACGGGAAACCAAATGTGTACAATATTTTTTCCATCTTCAGATAATTATTATGAAGGAGCTCAATTAACGCTGTTGTTGACGCACAAGCTCGGCGCTGCCTTCACATGCCGCTTCCAATTACTTGCGTATCCCTTCGACACGCAGAGATGTGAACTCAACATCAAGGTGGAAAACACGGAAAGCCTTAAGATTAAAGAGGTAAGAACTGAAGATAATGACTCCACATTAAATCATCATTGCCGTGCAACGAAATTAATAAAGAATGAGATGAATATATATACAAAAAATACATAAAATTAGAACTTGACTGGTCGAGTGATAAGTCTAATGTGGTATTTGAGCGATAAATAATGGAAGGTTTATAACATGGAATCATGTGTACTATTATTTGAGATTTTATTTAATAATGTGTAAAATTTGATTGATTGTATCAAATGATCGGATTTATTGACGAAAGCAAATAATGTCGTTGAGATTCTCGTCCAGCTCTCACAAAATTATACCTGCATGACAGATTAATGCTATGTATTTTAATATTCCAATAAGTATGCTTGCAAGATGAATGATATATCTTTGGTACTTCTTTATTTATGCATGTGATATAATGATGATAATGAAGTACGTTTGATACTTGCACCATGGATAAAAGTCGAAATATAAATCGTTTCTATTTCACAAAACATGCTCGTTATTTCTATGATACTCTCCACGGACTCAGTACATGTCCGTAAGCGGGTTCGAAGGGAGGCAAGACTTGCTGGAGTACAGCTTAGTGAAGATGGACGTCCATGTGGTGAAGGACATGCCCATTGCCAGGGTCAGTAAACTGGTCTTGTATTAATTAAGCTTGGCAAGAAAATAGACAAGAGAGTAGATGAAGGTAGGCATTGTAGAAATCGGTTTGAACATTTTGAGATAACCTAACTTAAGTTTGAACACACGTATGTATATAACCTCTCATCACAATAAACATAGTTTTTAGTTATGAAGAAGTCTACAACGTCTACGTATAGATATATTTAAGAAGACGAACAATGATATCACCTTGAAAGAAAGTTACTAGTTATGAAATTGTATGAAAGTATTTGATTGGGTCTGTTTTAAGATTATAAGATCATGTTTTTTCAGGTCACGTTGGAGTTCCGGAACCAGTACACGTACTATATCGGCAACGCGTTTGTACCGAGCTTCCTCATAGTACTTGTGTGCTACTACGTCTTCTACTTCGCCATCGATGATTTCCCGGTGCGGCACAAATTGGCAGCTCAGAATGTATATAATTTGAATACTTAATGAAAGTTTCACGATATCACTTACTTAATCTCATTACAATGAAGTAACTACTGAAGTTGCAATGACTCATCGAACAATGCCAACACTAGCGACGCAATATAAGAAATAATAAATGAATATTTAATTATTTCAACAGAATCGCATCATGGTGTCGTTGACGTCTCTGCTGGTGCTGGTGTCTCTGTTTTCCCAGACGACCGAGAGCATCCCTAAGACATCCTACATTAAGCTCATCGACGTGTGGTTCATGGCTTTCATCGCTTTCGACTTTTGCGTCATTTCTGTAGTAGTTCTCATTGAATTTTTCAGACCAAAAGTGAACGAACGAAAGACTGGTGACAGACAAGGGTTGATAGAAACGATCACGATGGTCACGTCCCAAGTAAACCTTACAGAAGCAAAAGAATTAAAGAAGGAACTAACGAAGAATCACACACGAACGACTCAGAGTTCAATAGTTTCAGCGGTCCAAGCTAATAGGCAAAGCGACAAGGGAAAGAACGTTGCTGTTGAAACCGCTCGTATGTCGTCATGTAAGACCAGTGCTCATCAGATGTTGAAGCGTTCACGTTTCAATGTTTTCTGCGTTAATGAATTTTCGAAGTTTGTTTTCCCACTAATATATGGCATTTTTATCATAATGTTCATATATACTGCGGTTGATAATCTCTCACGGTGGGATCATACAAATTAAAAGATAAATCAGGGTAATTAAATCAATCTTCATTAAAAACCGATGACATAATTATTAATTTAGGAATCGCAGTATTATGCAATACGAGGAATAACTTAATATCAGTCATTCAATAAGACAGATCGAGCAAGAGGCAGTTGGCATGCGATGCGTCGGAAAAATTGCTGCTGATTTCATGAACGAAAACATGTGGTACAGTCCAGTCTGCTTAGAAAACTTGAGGCTCTGAACAAAGTAAACACAACCGACATCACAATAAAACTTGAGGCTCTGAACAAAGTAAACACAACCGACATCACAATAAAACTTGAGGCTCTGAAACTTGAGGCTAAAAATTAAATATTTAAATTAATATTAATTTAATAAATTTAAAAATTAAATTTATTTAAAATTAGCAATTTAAATATCAGAACTGTTCAGAAATTGCATAGAAACCATTTACACGATTCATGTTTCATTTTCACTCTAGCCTTCCACTTACTTCCTGACGAAGCACTGCACTTCGTCGCCAGGCTTCAGCGATTTTAAGTAGTTCGAACAAACGCCGAAGTGCAGCGGACCTTCACCGTCTGAAAAATGAGTCAAATCACAATTAAGTCGTTTCATATACACACTGTTAGGAAAAAACAGTAAAAGAACTTTTGGGCCAGAGTTTTAGCGGCAGTTTGCCTCGTGAAATAAAACCCTGACATTATTCTTTTAAAAGTCCAAATATGAAACCGAACCATTGTATGGCCGAATTTCATGAGAAGGCCGGCCATTTAGAACGCCGGTCCGACCTTTATTTCACTGTTTTTTTTCATCCCATAATGGTCCTGAAAACATAGTCTCAGATTCTTGTATTGCTTTAGCCGTTCAATGTAAAATTGGTTAGGGGAATAAATTGGTTTTTATTCCAAGGCACGACTAATAAACAAATTAAAAATCGCTATCTTGCGAAATCCACACGACAAAAAAATGAGATAGGCAGAATAACTCATTTTTAGTTTTTTTTTTATATAAAAGTTCACATTTAGGATGGACAGAAATTCTTAGGAATTTCATCAAATCGAAGCATCAAATAACGAAACTGTTGATGACATATAGGCATCAGAGACGATACTTCTACTACAACAAACTCTCTAAATCAAGACTTACTCCTTAGTGATATAATTTGTAGTCCTTATGTCAAATAAAAAACATAAATGTACTACGAATGTAATTGATTCCAAACGTTGTCAACGAAATTTTCTTGGTTACTAGCCTCTTCCAGCGATCAAACCATGAGAGATCATCGTTAAATCATAGTTATATTAAAAAAATTTTCAAAGCAGTTTCATGCAAATTTACATGACTTTTACTAAGAAAGTTTGGATTAGTTCTTATCTAATGCCCGCTCATCCAATGCCTTGTTCGGCGTGATTTGCTTGCATAAAAAAATTGTTCGCTATGGAGCACGAATAGTTTATTGTTTCTCTTCATTTGATAAATTACATTTAAATGAATTGGCACCACCGACACTCCAGTCTCGTTAATTCATCAAGGCACATTTCATGAGTGAAATATCATATAAGCGTGAAACATCATGCGTATATCCAAAGTTATTGAACGAACACAGTCAATTTGTTGTAGCACAGATGGCAAGGAGTGAAATGTTAACGATTCGAGAAAATTCACATGCCCCAATACCGATCATAGTACTTGTGTAAACAATGTACATTTGACGAAAATAAAGTTTAATCGAGTTAACTAAAGCTAAAATTGCGAAAACAGAATTTAAACTTGAGGAAATTGAAACTAAACTTGTGGGAACTAAAGCCGAACTTGAAAAAGCTGGAACACAACTCGACTAAACCGAAAATTCGCCTGACGAAACTGAAAATGCGCCTAAAGAAACTGAAAATGCGCCAAAAGAAACTGAAAATGCGCCTAAAGAAACTGAAAATGTGCCTGAAGAAACTGGAAATGTGCCTGAAGAAACTGAAAATACGCCTGAAAAAAAAAACTAAAAAAGTGCCTGAAGAAACTGAAAATGAGCCTGAAGAAACTGAAAATGCGCCTCAAGAAACTGAAAATGCGCCTGAAGAAACTGAAAGTGCGCCTGAAGAAACTGAAAATGAGCCTGAAGAAACTGAAAATGTGCCTGAAGAACCTGAAAATTTGCCTGAAGAAACTGAAAATGCGCCTGAAGAAACTGAAAATGTGTCATTAAGAAACTGAAAATGTGCCTGAAAAAACTGAAAATGCGCCTGAAAAAAACTAAAAAAGTGCCTGAAGAAATTAAAAAAGTTCCTGAAGTAACTGAAAATGCGCCCGAAGAAACTGAAAATGCACCTAAAGAAACTGAAAATGCGCCTGACGAAACTGAAAATGCGCCCAAAGCAACCAAAAAAGTGTCGTGAAGACCCACCCTCGGTGTTGTACGAGACTACGGCGACGGTGAGGTGCAGTTCGCCAGGCTGTGCCGCAGGGGAGGAGCTGATGGAGTAGAAGCGAGGCTGCAGCAGCGGCAGTTGCGACACCAGCGCCGACGCTGGGAGCTTCACGCTCGGGAACTCCTGCAGCACCTCCAGCAGGTGCGGGTAGCGCTTGTGCTTCCACTCCTCGTACGCGCGGGCGTCCTTTTATTACACGGTATAAATGATCGACGAATTTGAACAACTATAAAACATTCTTCTGATACCTTAAATGTTCTGTCTGGTTGTTTTCTGACTTGAAACTTTAACACAGATCCCTAATTTCTTAACATTTGGAAATTAATAAAAACTATTCATATTATTTACCGGATTGTTTTGAATGCATCTGACCACAAGTTGCTAAGTAAGAGTCTGAAGAACTATAGGACTGAATCGGACTACTCAGTCCGTTGACTAGGACTGAATCGGTCTACTTGGTCCGTTGACTAGGACTGAATCAGTCTACTCGGTCCGTTGACTAGGACTGAATCGGTCTACTCGGTCCGTTGACTAGGACTGAATCGGTCTACTCGGTCCGTTGACTAGGACTGAATCATATCAGGCATAGTGTGCAGTGTTGTGGTATCTTATCAGGCATATTGTGCAATATTATGTTATTGTATCAGGTTGATATCATTTCAGAATGTTTGCCTGAAATGTCGTCATTCGAGGCATAGGCATACCGTGCAGGATAAAGTGGACGTCTCCGGCCTTGACATATTGTGCCGTGCCGTGTTAACCATCCATGTCTCATGATATCTAGCATTATATTGTTAATCATTCAATACAGTTCCTTCTCTACTCAATTTTTTTCAGCAAATTTTGCTTATTATCAGCATTCTTTTCAAAATTAAAAGAAGAACAATAACACTCGATCCACACTCATTGTCTGATTATGAAAAAAAGTTTGGGAGTAAATATAAACGTTAATCAGAGCATTATTATCTTTATGTCGTACAATCATAACAATATATTACGCCCGTGGATGAAACACCATTAGGGTTAAGGGTTACTAATTATTAATCATGCTTGTCACTTACCATTAGGCGTATGCGTCACTCACCATTAGGCGCATGCGCCACTCATTATTAATCATGCGCGTCATTCGCCATCAGGCGTATGCGTCACTCACCATCAGGAGTATGCGTCACTCACCATCAGGCGCATGCATCACTCACCATTAGGCGTATGAGTCTCGCGCATGACCATGACGTGTACAGGAGTGTCAGGGTTGTGGCCAGCATGCGTGTCACTCACCATACGTCACTCACCATTAGGCGTATGCATCGCTCACCATTAGGCGTATGCGTCACTCACCATTAGGCGTATGCATCGCTCACCATTAGGCGTATGCGTGTCACTCACCATTAGGCGCATGCATCACTCAACATTAGGCGTATGCGTCACTCACCATTAAGAGTATGCGTGTCACTCATCATTAGGCGTATGCGTGTCACTCACCATTAGGCGTATGCATCACTCACCATTAGGCGTATGCGTGTCACTCACCAATAAGAGTATGCGTGTCACTCACCATTAGGCGTATGCGTGTCACTCACCATTAGGCGTATGCATCACTCACCATTAGGCGTATGCGTCACTCACCATTAGGCGTATGTGTCACTCACCATTAGGCGCATGCATCACTCACCATTAGGCGCATGCATCACTCACTATCAGGCGCACGCATCACTCACCATTAGGCGTATGGGTCTCGCGCATGACCATGACGTGCACAGGAGTGTCAAGCTCACCATTAGGCGTATGGGTCTCGCGCATGACCATGACGTGCACAGGAGTGTCAAGCTCACCATTAGGCGTATGAGTCTCGCGCATGACCATGACGTGTACAGGAGTGTCAGGGTTGAGGCCAGGAGCCAGGAGCTGGACGACGTCCTGCACGAGGTCGCTGCTGTTGCAGGGCAGCACCGCCAGGTGGTCGCCGGGGCTGTAGTGCAGCATGGGGGCGCCTTCACGCCCGTTGATGTCAAATATTATTTGTTGTGTGTGCCGGCTAGGAAAATAATAATAGCATTTATTTATTTATTATAGCAAGACGCATTTATGAAAAAATGGAAAATGTACATGCAAATGCGTATTTATTGTTTTTAAAAATAAAACAATTTTAAAGTGTGCTGGCTGAAAAAAATAAATAATAAATGCGCCACGCATTTATGAAAAAATAGGAAATGTACCACGCAAATGCGTATTTATTGTTTTTAAAAATAAAACAATTTTAATGGTATAATAAAGTTATTGCGAGTAGATGCGACCGCAACGAACAAGGCGCTACATGAAAATAACCATACGAAAAAATTATGAGGTATAATCTAGAAATTGATAGTTACGGCGAAAGTTGACAAAGTGATAATAACAATTAAAAAACTTTAAGAGGTCTAGTAATTGATTCTAGTATTAATCTAATATAATTATTATTTACGGCATAAGTTGACGCGACTGCAAAGAACAATACACCACGTGGATATAACTTAAAATTTGTAATTAAGTAATTATATGATTATTAGTTAATGCAAACGTTGATACGATCATATTTTCAAACGCTAGTGCAAATAAATGTACTAATACTGTAGAGGTGAGCACGCTATTGTAAAAGCTAATCAGAGTATACAACTAGCAAATAACTCCTAAGTCATATCGTAACGTTACATGGATTCGGTCAATGTTCAAATTGCTAATTCAATTTTAGTTGAACCTATTTGTTCTAATCGACTATGCAAGCTTACCGAACAGATACTTAATTGGACGCATTGAAAACCATGGATATCTCTTCGTTCGTGGCATTATTTAGCACAGAAAATTTTTCAAAACACCTGATATTAAAAAATCGACCTTTGGAAGTGTTCTGATTGCTCGCGGTGCAGGTTTTTCGACCCCATCCCATACACGGCGTACGCCTTTCTTGACGTGGGCTTGCTTAGCAATGTTTAGCGCTTAAAATTATTCAAACACTCATTTTAAACAAATAGATATATAACAGAACCATATAGACCTACTTGGACTCTTCGGGATGCAGGTTTTTGGACTCGATCACATGCACGGTCTGCACGCCCTTCTTGACGTGGGCGCGTGCGAGGCCGACCTGCCGCGGCGTTGCGTTGTCGCACTCGATGAGCTTCACGTCGAGGTTCTTGCGCCTGTCTGCCTTCAGCGCCGCCGTCGCGTCTTGAATGGCGCCTTCGTCGTCCAAGCAGAACGTCTTGCAACCCGTCTGCATTTTGTAATATTTCGCATTAGTCATCATCTTGGACATCGTGAAATGCACAGACATGTTTAAAATCATGTCATGTTCCGTCATGGTGAACATCATGCTGTGTTCCGATATGTACAACATAAGTCGTGTTATGTTGTACATCATGTCGTCTTCCCTTCAATAATTAACCGGATTTTGTTGAAAATTTGAACCACTTTAGCAGAACGCTCAGTATAGTCAGTCTTTATTCCTTCATATCAAGTATAAGTGATCATGATCTATGGTGAATATTCATAATAAATCCCATAATAAATACATGTCGTGACGAAACCAACAGCAGCCACATTCTGTTCAATGATAAATCCAAATACAGTATTTAGAACCTCTTCGCGGTTAAAAGAACGTTGTGCGGTATTTTATTGATGCATGGTCATTGTCTGAAGCAGTTCGCACCTGCATCAGCCAATCACTGACAGCTTTTTCATCTAAACTCACAAATCAAAGACAAGAAGTCGGCCACTAAGAGTGCTTAGGCCGGCCGCTACGTGCACTCGAGCGCCTAGGAATTGTGCATAAATATGGCAGCTTATCAGATGCATGCTCTTTAATGTCGAATCAATGAACAAAAAAGTGTAAACCGGAGAGGCATTAATTATCGATAACTATATTTCTCAATATTAATAGATGTTGTTTTCGCAAATTTCTGAAATTAAATTACATTCCCTACGTATTATTTCACAATGTTGATAGATAATGGCGAAATCACGCAATTTACTGCATGCTATACAGTAACAGAAACTTTTATTTAACCTTAAATACTTCTCCCGCCCAGAGGTTGAACTGCTGCTCTTGCCCCGCTAGTTCATCCCCACAGGTGAGGTTGAGGAGCCGCTCCCCACCCAGGTCCCCCAGCAGCTGGTCCACGTAGGTCCCGAACGCGCAGAAGTTGGGGTATGCGCTCGACCCTAACGCAAACACCGCATACCTGGGCACAGGGAGGCATGGCGTGCAGGGAATGCGAATAAAATTCAAACGAGAAATGTTTCATTCGTGATTTAATGTTTACTATTTTTAGCAAATACTAACAGGTTTAGCGGTGCCAGAGTTGATTAGGCTATTAGGTCAGTCGCCGATTCTGAACATCAAAAATTATCACAGCTTGTTGCGTGTCTCGAACACGCAACTCACTGCTTCACTATTCACTTTGTGTAATTAACCTCGTCGGCTACCTCGTAGAATTTGACCAGAACTGTCGCATGTATCTGGAGTCGAACATACAGCTGTTGTTGTTGACCCTCCCCGCCTCGCTTCACGGCGCGAGGCGGGGCCTAGACCCAGCTCTGGGGCCAACCAAGTCGGTCGCTCCAGCGGGCCAGCAGCCCCGCGGCGTTTACGGGGTCTGCCCAAAGGTCGCCCACCGACAGGGATATGGGCATTTCAGGGCAGGAGAAAAGATGAATGGTGTTGTGCGTGTTGGATAGACAGAGTGGGCAAAGTGGAGAAGAGTGAGTGGCAGGGTCTATTTTATTTAGGTATGAGAGAAGTAGCGGTGATTTGTTTGTGCGAAGTTGGGCAAGGTTCCTGCGTGCAGGTCTAGGTAGGTTGATTTCAGATGGGTGGATCTGTGGTGCGGGAATGTTTAAAATTTTATTGTGAGGGAGGGTTGCAAGATAGTTTACTGTGATTGTAGTGTGGATTGTTTTGAGATTTTGTTTGATTGTGTCCTGTGTAGCTTGTGCAGGCGGAGTATCTATGTTGGTGGTGAAACCTGAGTTGTGGAAAATGGTTTGTTTCATGAGACAGTGTGGGTGCGGCTGAAGGGTGAGGGTATGTAGTGGGTGGGTTGGGTTTTGTGCTTTCTGTCTGAGTTGTGAGGCGTGAAGTTTGAGGTGTTGTGTTAGGGGTGGGAGTTTGGTTTCTTGGTGAAGGTGATGGATGTTGGTGTCTGCGGTACAGCCTGTGGCGATCCTGAGTGCTGCGTTCTGGACTGTTTGGATGTGCGTTCATGTGCGTGGGTGATATAATTGGTGACCAGGATGAGTTTGCGTATTCAAGGATTGGACGTGTGATTGTTTGAAATGTGATTGTGAGTAGTTCTTTTTGTTTTCCCCATTGTGTGGTTGTAAGTGATTTGATAATTTTGATGGTATTATTGGCTTTGTTGTGAGTATTATTTAATGTGTGTGCTGAAGGTGAGCTTTGGGTCAAAGGTAAGTCCAAGTACACACAGCTCAAATCTTGTTACTCTGAACGTGTAACCACTGGGTCACCTACACGTGATGGTATTGGGCATTTCAGTATTTTATGAAGATCCCAAGGCTTTGTTTGCCAAAGGACCCTTTCACACAGGGCGGGAAATCCCGATGGCGTGAAAAAAACCGCCGCGGGATTTCCCGCCGAACCTCAGCAAACGTATAAAATGTGCACTGCTATTAACACACGACGAATTTTCACGCTGCGTGAAATTACACGCCTGACGACCGCGTGTGTCAAGCTAAAACTGCGGCGGAATTTCCAGCTACAGTTTAGCTTGCAATGGTATTCAATGTAATCTTTCACACGGGGCGGGTTTTCACGCCGCTACCTAGTGTGGTACAGACAGTGGGTCGGCGAGAGTGTGTGTGAGTTAAAGTTTTTCAATAGCAGGCACGGCGTCTCTCATCTGCGTGCTGTTGTGGGTTAATTTTACTTACACACAAGACAATAATCCATCAAAACTTTCGGGAGACATTCGACAATAATTGAAGAATTTTACTTCAATTTTCCGAATAGTGTGGCAAATTCACCTTCTTGTGGCCTTAATTTTACTGTATTGTGAACCCAGCACCTCGTTTTCTTTCTTTGCCGTCTTTAATGCAGCAAATATAAAAGGAGAGCCTTCTTTTCTTTGCTATGAGCAGCCATTTATAGATATAGTTCACAAAAACTGAGGACCACTTTTACGGATAACAGCATTGCAAGTCTGATAGATTCCAGCGTGAAAGACCGCCTCGTGTGAATGATAGCGCTGGAAATCCCGCGGCGGTTTTTTTCACGCCGGCGGGATTTCCCGCCCTGTGTGAAAGCGGCCTTACTTGATGTTACTTAAGGGCTGCTTTATACGTGGTAGTCAATAATCATATATGGATAATATTCTGCTACACACCATTATTAACTAAGCACTATCTGCCTAACCTGACGTTGCTCAAGAGCTCTACGTGATCACTTATGTATATTCTACCACATATCACAAATAACTTAGCACTATCTGCCTCACCTGACGTCGCTCGAGGGCTCTACGTGATCACCTATGTATATTCTACTACATCCGGGTTAGATATGGTGCTAGGCATTTCAAATCTGAATATATATTTTTCCATAGCATTATCTAGTCTGTTCTTGAACGCGTTCATGCTTGGAGCGCCAACGATGTCTTCGGGGAGGCTGTTCCACATGTCGGTGATTCAAAGCGAGAAGAAATGTTGTCGCGTGGATAAGTTGCAGTGCAGTTTTTTTAGTTATAGCCGTGGCCCCTGGTGTTGGTTCTTGTTTCAAATTCTAGTAATCCTTCGGGGACCTTGTACAAACCATGAGTATGCTTGTCTACTTCAATGAGGTCCCCACGCAGACGTCGATAACTTAGACTTGGAAGCTTCATAATCTTTAATCTTTCTTCATAGGACTTGCCCTTCAAGCTCGGAATTATCCTTGTTGCACGTCTTTGAACATTCTCTATTAAATTTTTGTCCTTTTCAAACCTCGGTGGCCACACAACGTTTCCAAACTCTCGATTCGGGAGCGCGACAGCAACAAACAACTGCTTCATCGCTTCTGCATCTAGGAACTCGTATGAGCGTCTGATTAATCCAAGAAGTTTGTTGGATGTGTTAGCTTGCGTTTCAACATGCTTAGAAAATTTCAGCTCCTTGTCGACATAAACTTCCACACTACACTTTTCAATCATTACTCTCTCGTTGCAACCATGTCTTCTCATACTCTAATCTTGCTGTTCATTGTTCTTCACGAGGTGAAGTAATTTACACTTGTCAGTATTAAAACGCAGCTGCCACGTATCAGCCCAGTTAACTAAACTGTCAAGGGCATGTTGCAATTGCGCTTTATTTGACGCATCCTTCACTGTTTTATAAATTTTTGTGTCGTCGGCATACACGGAGCACACGCTGGACACTGCTTCAGGCAGATCGTTTATAAAAGCGACGAACAAAATAGGCCCAAGAACGCTTCCGTGTGGCACGCCACTGCGCATTGACGCCCAGTCTGACACGGTTCCGTTAATACTGACATGTTGTCGTCTACCTACCAGAAAACCTCTGATCCATTGGAGTACGTTTCCCTCAATTCCCAAAGACTTCACTTTACGCAACAGCCGCTCAGCCGGAACACTGTCAAATGCTTTGGCAAAATCGAGGTACACTGCATCTACTGGATCCCTTTCGTCCAGCAGGCGAGTCCAATCGTTCAACGTAGCTAATAAGTTAGTGGTGCAGGATCTCCCGGCACTAAAACGATGTTGACAATCTGATACGAGATGGTGAGCAGTCAAGTGATCGATAATCCTATCCCTCACACAACAGATTATAAATCACTTAGCACTATCTGCCTCACCTAACGTTGCTCAAGGGCTCTACGTTGCTCTTAATACATATGAAAAAAATAACTTAGCACTATTTGCCTAACCTAACGTTGCTCAAGGGCTCTACGTGATCACCTATGTATATTTTAACACACATCATAAATAACTTAGCACTATCTGCCTAACCTAACGTTGCTCAAGGGCCGTGACGTGAAGGTCGTCAATGGAAGGACAAGATTTCTGCGAGGTGAGCACGCCGTTGGGGGACTGGAGTGCCGGCGTCGGCGACGCTGTTCATCCGCATGAACGACAGGCTGCGGTTCAAGCTGTCCCGAGCAAAGCGACTTAAAACTTTTGCTAATACGTTGAATACGGAGGACATTTTAGAATACACGAAGCGTGATATCATGTTAATGGGCTTAGTAATATGATTAACAGACACACTAAGCCAATATTTTAATAAGTCGATTAATAATAATTTATTATATGCACACTAATTAGTCCTGATACGTTTCCGGGATCAGTGGTCTGATTACGATTCCACAAAGCGTGACCTCAAATTTAGCGTCAGATGTCACTGGATTCACGTAGGTATAAAAAATAAATAAGCTCCTGTAATGTACGGATCAGTTACAAAAATGTGAGATCAGCAATGATAAGCTTTAAAAATCATCCCGTAAAGGTCTGGGCAGCATAAGATGCGAATATGGTTTCACAACTTCGATAATATTCTGCCGAAGTACAATAAATTATGGGGGAATGAAAGCATCGTAATTTATTTGGCTTGTCAGTAATGAAATTCATTAATAATTCACAAAGTTAACTCAAAATCACGAACAAAGAGAACAGAAAAAAATTTATTCATTTTTTGTCAGAATTTTCTGTAAATTTTACTAACTTGAAAGTCTGTCATTTTATAAAAGCTTCCTACAATGTGGCGGCTGACAAATCCAAAAAGAATACAATCTAGTGGCGTTCTCGTCTGACAATCAAGCGACAAAATTTAGTCGGTCTGCTATAGTGCTCAAAAGAAGGTGTCTCGACTCGATGTTTTAAATGCAATTTACAATTAAATCTAAAGAAATCCTGTAATTGCGTTTATATCCGTAATTCTACCGTAAAATTGGTACAAGTAATACATTGTGTTTATAATTAAAAGAAAATGTCCTTCTGTATAAATGGTTCCATTAACGGAAATTTGAAGTTAGAATTTTTGCTTTTCTGGGCAGGGTTAATTAACTGATCCTGCACGATGAATAAGAAACAATAAAAAATTTAAAAATAATACCACGGAAGGGCAACGGGTATTAGCGCAATAGCAATAAATAGTACGGCAGTAAGCATACTGTTCGTTTGGTAAGCCAAGTATGAGAGCAATATTAAAATTTGAGGAACCAGCTGTATCGTTAAAGCTTGAAGGTGAATTGGAATAAAGCAATGAAATAATTGTGTTGCATGAAGCTGAGAATAATACTTACGCCAAGACATAATTTAGGCCAGGATCAAAACAAAGCAGAATGAATGAGTTTGTAAACTTCAGCAAAGAAAATCTCAAGGAAAAATATTCTTCAAGCCCAAGAAGACCTTTCACTCTCAAAAATTTATAAAAAAGAACAGCGGGAAATTAGCTATGCTTAATAGTTACACATAAAAATCTGCGACTAAAATTCTTAGATGTAGTTAGCCACTGCATGGAATAAGTCTTATTTGTCTAACATAGGATGGTTGCAATGCACAAATATGTCTCGCTTAAGCATGCTAAATGCACAGTGTACATGCTCAATTTAGCGCGCTGCCTCGGCCACAGGTATGAACTTAACAATTTACTGACCAGGGCCTATGCTTTCAAAAAAAGTTAAGAGATCGTAAGTTCATCAGCCAATCATTGACGGCCTTTCAAGCAAAATTCTTCAATCATAGACAAGAAAATAGAGCGTAAGTACTTAGGTTCACTTAGCGAGTTTTGAAAGTATGGCCCCAAGCTGAGCCAAACCCATGGTTTGAAAACCATAGAATAAGGGTTTTTCGGGGCTTTAAAGCCAAACCCGGTCCTTACAGTAACAGATCAGAGGCGGGATTCTCACAACTATTACGAGGCATTTAAAATCATTGCCTATCCTGGCTATGAAGTTGACTGATAATGTAAACATATCAACATAAAGATCAAAATTGTGGTAACAATTGTTGGGATTCTCGCACAGCTATATAGTCTATGACTCGCATATAAAAGCCTTAACACTCCATGCAAATTACGTCAAAACAACGCTGATTACGATTTGATTTCGTTGATACAACGTTGATTACGAGCTGATTTTGTTGAACAACGTTGATTACTAGTTGATTTCGTTGAAACAACGATTATTCAACATCAGAAGTCTGGTGGGTTGCTATTGTACAACAATTAAATAGACGAAAACTCGCTCGCCACCAATTAACGAGTGCACGACAATACGCTACGTCTACAACAAGACAATCAACAATCTACACTCTGATGGAACTCAGGTGTGAATATTATAAAAAAACAGTGTTATTGACAACCATGAAAAAAATACCACCAGAAAACGATAAACTAAAAACTGTATCAAAATTAAATTGAAAAACTAGTTATATTTTTAACATAGTTTCCCAGTGAAAAATAATGTTAAGAAGGCATGGATCTTTAGACACAAAATTTGTAGTTATACTCAGTGTAGAATGCGTTATTAGAGGCGAATAATAACTTGCATGTAAAAATAATCGAAAACGCCATTGTGACTGCTACTGCACGGAACCTAAAGTGAGAAAAATTTTTTCGTATTCAATGTCATATAAAACATTTAAATTTTGTAGTCTGAGTGCTAGACAAAGACAACACGAAAATCATGGGCCCTCATTTAATAAATCATCAACGTCAAGCTCACTGCTTGGGAATTTGAATTTTGAAATTAATGATATTAAAAATGTACACTAAAACACATATATTCGCGAAACCAGAGTTTCGAGTGAAATAAAGCAAGTTAGTTTATGGTCAAATTTTAGTTTCTTCACAATTGATGTAGAGTTCGTGACTTCTTTGCTAGCTTAGAACCACAGCACTTCAACATACCATTGAAATGAAGGCTTGTCAGGCGAAGGGGAAACCAAAAATTAACATCAAACGTGCAGCGCAGTGTATATTAATTTATTCACGCGATATGTTTCCGTGCCAGTTCTTGTGAATATCAGTGATCGTTCTGAGCAAGATAACGTTTTTCGCTCGGGAGTGTAAAGCGCGTTTTTAAGCGGTGCAGGTAATATGCCTCAGATTTAAGCCTATAGACTGAGGGAGAGAAACGAGCATTAGTTCCTGCCTTAACGAAGATATGGTAATGCACGTCGTAACTCTTTATCATAACAAAATAGGGTGTATTACACTTACTACTCATTGCCTGCTTACAGTTTTGAAGTAACTGGTTTAAGTTTATTTATATAATGAGGACAGTTAATCTTAAAAGATATAGTTTATAAAAATGTGGGTAGTTTTAAAAATAAAGCGAACTTGGTTTTTAGACGACAAAAATGTTTAGTTGCTTCAGTGAGATTGTGAAAAATATGGGTAGAACAATATTTTAAAGATGCCACACTCATAAAATGATTACTGCTGAATCATGAAGTCGTTCATAAAACAAAGTTAGAACGCTAAAATTGAAATCAGTCTCAGTAGCAGTAATTAAGCGCATCAAAATCAATCAGCCAAGCGAACAATCATACTAGGTTCGACATTGCGCAAATCGATTTTTTATTTACCGATTCTAGAGCTAGTGTCTTACTAGGCATTTTACTACAAACAGATACCCGATCACAGCCTAAATGCCTGGATGATGTGGGTGCAAAAGAATACGCAGGTTTCCACAGTATACAGGTTTTCACCACACATACCATCACACTAACATTGAGCAATGAGTTAGGTGATCAAAAAACTAGCATCACACCAATAAAATTTCGTTAAATTAATTGTTTCAGAACGAACGAACGACATGAGCTAAGTATTAACTTGGAAGATATGGATTAACGAGAATTATTTCACCAAATTGATCTAAGGAGTTCGTTTTTCCGCTAAAAAAGCTTTAAGAAAATAAAAAAAGCTACTCCTTGTTTGAAAAATGTCTACGTAAATATCGTTCCACGAAATGAATGATATCTATCAATCGAGACTGCAACTGGGTTTTAGACGGTGATTACTGACGACAAACCCGAGCGGGCGTACTAGATGCTGTAAATCACAATATACCAGATATCGCGATTTGTCGTGCACTACACTATTTGTCAACACTGTCCTCCTTATGCGCATCTTAAACTAACTCTTAATGGTAAATAAACAATATTTTTAGAAGCACAACGGTTAAATAAGTTTTACTGGGGAATTTTACAACAACGAAGTTGTCTGGGATTGCAAGGTTGTATTACAGTATTAGGAAGATCTGAAACAATGTAATTACTTCTATATAGGGGCTTGCGAAGTAAAGTTAGAAAACCTTATTTATGAATTTAATTCAGTCTTGGGGCTGCGTTCTCAACGATTCATTCAAGAATCTCGATTACAGGAACGTTCGATATTGAAATAAATGTCAGCTAACTGGGAGGTTGAATGAAACCTGTTATCGACCGGTTGATAAAAATAATACAGGTATAAAAACTAGCAAATCAAAAGCTTCTCCGCTTCAAAAATATTTGCTTCCAAAGCATGAGAACGATTGGTTATTAAGAAGCGAAGGCATAATCACACCAGAGAAATCACATCAGAGAAGGCAGCCTAAATCAAAATATCGTGTGGCGCTTAAATCAGTGATAGTGCGGAGAGAAGAAATTGCCGCGTGGTAACTAAACCACGCAGCGGAAAGCTTAGTCAAAATTTAGAGTCACTCCAGCTTCTGATTACCAGGGGCCATACTTTCAAAACTCGCTAAGTGAACGTAAGTACTTATGCACTATTTTCTTGTCTATGATTGGTGGATTTTGCTTGCCGTCAAAGATTGGCTGATGAACTTACGATATCTTAACTTTTTTGAAAGTATAGGCCCAGAATCAGAAGCTGCCGCACCTCTGAATTTTGTCTGGGGCGCTAGTCTATCACAAGCCATGCCATCTCGGGCGCGCAACACTCAACGGTCAATGAGAATAGAACTTATCCCTTCTTGGTCGAGTAGTTGAACTGGTACGAGGAGGAACTTGCGAGCAAAAAAAAAAGAGGTAAAGAAGAAGCAGATAAATAAATACTGCCATGATTACAGCTTCAAATGAGAGCAAAGCCTGCTCTCGAATGAACAGTTCCGCAGAAAACATTACAAGATTAACAATATCGAAGAAAAGCGCGTGTCTTCAGCTTCATTTGCACTTAGTAAATTAATGAAATATCAATAAACCCGGATTTTTTGAAAATAATTGAAAAAATCAAATGGTCACATAATTAGGAGATTATTTTACTCCCAGTTGACGGATTAGGAGCAAATATTTAGGAAAAATACTTTAACCAACAGGAAGGAATCTCGTATGTCGGCTTTAAGATGCTCTGATGTCTTGGCCTGACAAATACTTTTTTAATCAGAATTTTTTCGGCATCAATGGTTCGAAAAAGTATATATAATTAACACGGCGACAAAATTTAAAAGTAAAAAATATTGCATTGATTTCAAATAATTCCCTATTAAAAATCACTTTAAAATCAATAAGGATTTCCAAAGGCATTATGATCATGAAGCTAGAACATTATTTGAAAATGTCTGTGTCTGAATCTACGCTATAGTTCGAAAGTGCGATGAATATCCCACTCTATGTCGGCGAACAAACTATCCCTCTACTGGTATTTCAAACTGAAAATTCATGTATCGAAAAATACTTCCGAATAAATGCAGTTACACATAATTTTCAGTTACCTGGAATCGAAGGCTTCAAATTCAAAATTGGCTTCGTCATTTGAACAAAAGCTACTTGTCATGCATGGTGAATTTCTTATAAACAGACGCCGTCCTCATGGGTGAGTAAATACAATAATTATTTCGAAATAAACATCGCCAAAAATATACTGATATCAAATTAAATTTCTGGTTAATTTTCATAATAGAGAAAAACTATTTAACTGTTGACTGTGGATGATGCGGTCACACATAAATTAAATAATTTTAAGCATGAGAAAAAATTTGTTATGTTCATTCAACATTCAACAAATCGACAGCTCAAGTTAAGAACATTGTAGAAATACATAGCAATTAAAAACATTAAAATAAATTTATGGAGCAAAACGCGATATAAAATGCATAAAGAATTATTCTTGACACGCACGGACAATAAAAACATTACAGAATAATTTTCACGCACACACAAATGTGAAAGAAGGAAAATAATAAAATATTCATTAGGGTTAATATTTAGTTAAGATTAAAATATTTTCCCCATTTGCAGTAGAATTTCCCAAATTTTCCACTTCACTACAATTTCGATTTCTCAAGAAGCCTATACCTAAATATGGAAGCTATATACGCCAGTAAAATGATAATCATTATCGGAAAAATTATGAATGAAATATATCGAAAATCTGCCGAGGTTTTTACTGACGATTAATGGAAGAACATAGCTTACGCTTGGTGAGTAGTAAATCGTCTTGCGTAAAATAGATAAATGCATCATTGTATTATGCGTTTCGGTTTTCAAACGAAGTTAATTAATTATTATGTCTGAAAATTTTAGAAAATGTTGAGGAACGCACAAATAAAATTTTGCAACAAGAAGCAAGGAAATTGTGATTAAAAATAAAAAAAATAATTTCGAGACGTGCCTGAAATTTAAGAAAAAAATTGGAAAGCATTTAGAAAATGAATTGGAAATTCATGCGCGCTTTGGTGAATAAAATAATAAATGGAGTTGAATTCTTACACGAAATAGCATTTAATTTAACCGGGAGAACCAAGAAATATGGTCCAAGAATATAAAGATAACTGAATTTTTATTACGTTTCATGATTTGACATCTAGGAACACGAGACGGTGCCTCAGGTACAGCAGGATTAGGCCACAACATTGCGATGTCGTCAGTAGGCTTTGAATGACGAGTCGATTAGACACGCATTAACATCATCGAGATAAAACTCTGTCTGTTTAATGGACGTGAACTAGTCTATCAAAAAGCTCCATGGTTGATGGCAGGAGTTCGTCAGATTTGATAAATACGCATGAATCAACTAAAAAGCGAATAAAGTATAAAGTCTCAATCTATATAAAATATAAAATATCTATATAAAATATAAAAAGAGTCTATAAAATAAATTTAGTCTTTAGACTAAATTCGATTTAGTCTAAAGTCTAAATCGAATAAAAAACCTGAAAAGTTCCCAACAAATAATTTTTGATTAGGAAAAGGCTGTTCGGCGCAAAATGTTTGGGCTTTAAGTGATATCGAAGATAAACTTTAGCCAATAAGGTTCACCAGTGCGGATGAAGTTTTCCTTCATACAGAAATATACTGCATTCTGGTAAGCCCATTTTTAACCGAGAGGTTAGACGGCTCCAGATGCAAAACGGATCTCAGGTGCTATTTATTTGGCCGGCAATAAAACTATTATCAAGCAAAGAGCAATGAAAATAAGAAGCTTAGAATAATCGGATTAAAGAAAAGTTTTCTCACCGAGGAATGTCGTCCTGCTCTTCAGAAGCGATGCTCCGCTTCATGTCATGCAGACTCTTCGCGAACTTCTGCACTCGTCATGAAAATATAAAATAATCAGTGGAGTTGACATGAGAAAGGCTGCATGACTCAGAAAACCATAATCAAAACGGCATTGGGTCATCAAATGAACATTAATGTGAGATTATTTAGATTTTTTATTTATAGAATAGTGGTAATAGTTATCACTGTATTAATTATCTTTATAGTCATTATCATGTATTGATTATCTTTACATTATTTATCTTTGTATTAAATGTCCTTGTATTTGTTATTTTTGTATTAATTACCTTTGTATTATGTATCTTTCTATTAGTTATCTTTGTATTAATTATCATTGTATTAGTTATCTTTGCATTAATTATCTTTCTATTAGTTATCTTTGTATTAATTATCTTTGTAGTAGTTATCTTTGCAGTAATTATCTTTGTATTAAATGTCTTTGTATTAGTATCTTTGTGTTAATTATCTTTGTATTAATCATCTGTGTATTTGTATTAACTACTCATCGTCCGCACTACTGCCCACCTCGCCGTTCTCAGGCGGGTCGCCGTTGCCGAACGTAGAGGTGACGACGAGGACGAGGGTCTCGTGCTCGATGTTGATGAGGTCGTAGTCCTGCATGCAGTGCACCTGTACGCACACCATCTCTTCTTGTTAAGGACATCACAAAATAAATTGTTTTAAGTAATAAAATTACTAGATTGCTTAAATCGCAAGTTAATCGGGAATTTAAAAGCAAAGAAAACAGCCAGAATATTAACCATTTCGTAAGAATGAAAACGTTTCGGAGTCCAGCTCCATCGTCAGTTTTTTTGACGTTTCAACTGACGTTTGACGTTTCAACATCGTCGTTTCAACTGACGATGGAGCTGGACTCCGAGACGTTTTCATTCTTAAGAAATGGTTAATATACTGGCTCTTTTCTTTGCTTTTAAATTTCTGATAAATTGTTTTGTTATTATGACCATGACCAAATAACTTTTTTTTGTATATAAGGCCATGACTAAATACCTACCTTCTATATTTCTCTAAACTTCATTTTATGAAATAAGTTCTGTATTAGCAGTCGTCACAATGAATAGTGACGGATTCAGCTATAACATCATTTCGTTATGAGAATTCAAATTAGATATATTAATTCATTATGACTTTTTTAGTTTACATAATAAATTCATGGAAATTTTGAGGTTAAAGCAGTTTAGAACCTTTTCGATCACTACATTAACACGTTCACAAATTTCCAGAGTTTAGTTTACACGAATATTTATTCTGCATTGTTCATGCTTGGTAAGTCTCACCTGCGCGTTGAAGGTGTGGCCGAAAATCTCGGCCAGTTTGTTGGCGTAAGACTCGCTCTTGCCGGTCTCGGTGGCGTACAAGATCGTAGCCTTGATACGCTTAGACAGCGCCTTGCCGAATAGCTTGCTGGTGAACTTAACGGCCCTGCAATGAGATAATATCAATATGTTATCAATATTCAATATGTTGTTAATATTAATATGTAATAACAATACGTTATTCTTTATTCAGAGAAATGAACAATACGTTTTCCGGATACTGATGCGCCTTCTACCCTAGTGTGGGCTATTACTGGCTCAGTTGGCCTTGAAAAATGGCATTGCAACCGATAGTGATCAGTGTAACAACCGATCTCTACTTCTGCTGTGGGTAAAAACTGAATCACAATCTGGACAACATGACTCATTCATTTCTCTGCAAGCTTTCCATTATGTTTTGTCAATAAGTTATGGTTTTGCTTCAATCTGGAAATTATTTTTAATTAGGTAGGAAGATGCTCAATTTCGTCATTTCTATAGATTAAACTAATTACACTGTGTATATCATGTGATAGCTAGGCTCGTTCAGTCAGTAACTTTCGCATTTTGATACGCATAGCATTAACCGGATTTTCTGTCTCCGTCGGTAAGGCAATTATGCTTTTAAGTGAAGAAGAAGCTTTTCTCACCGAGCGATTTCTTTGAAGCGGAACGTGCGCTTGGTCATGCTGATGCTGTCATGGTTAGCTGCGTCGCGCTTGCGGCGACAATCGTAACTTTTCCAGGCAGCTTCCTGATACTCGTACGAAGGGCTGGCGAATGATCGTAGTCATAAAACACACTGATCTTACAAAGATGTTACTAGGGTTGAGAGTTAACTACATAAAAACAGTGAAGTTATTCATTAAATTTATCAAATTTGTTAGTTTGCAATGTGTCACACACAATTACTGTACCAAATGAAATAATCGAAAAGAAGCTTTTGGTTAAGAGACACATGAATCCTCAACGATGTGCAGTGTCTAATACGTTCGGAGTGCGAGACAGTGAATGATCGACCTAAGCTCCTAAGACACTGTATCTAAAGCGGGCAAGGCATTATAAGATGATATTATGTGAATCCTAACCATCGGCATAGCATTTTAAGATGATAATACGATAAGCTCAACCTCAGGCAAGGCATCTTAAAATGCTCATGCGAGAAGCTCAACTTCAGGCAAGGCACTTCAAGATGAAAATACGAGAATTTTGACCAGAGGTAAAGCATCTGAAGATGATCATATCTCAACCTGAGATAGTAGATGCTCATCTCCTGATGGAAGACAGGGGTGGCTGAGCCCGAGATGGGAGGCACAATCCAGACCCAGTCAGCGGGACAGCCTCCACGTACGCGCATCTCGTTATCGTAATGCTTCATGAACGTCTCACTCGCCGTGTGGTGGTCGACGATCGTCACGTTCTGAACCTGGCCACGCAAATTCTTGTTCACATCGAATGAGCTCGGGGAGACCGAGAAGTTATGTAAGATCAACCAGTTTGGGAAATCAAGTTAGGGGTGCGAAAGCCGCGACTAGTTGCGAAAATTCTAGTCGAACCAGGCACAGCGGTGGTTGAGAATCAGGGGCAGGTCATCATCGTCTAATCTGAGATCACACCACTATATTGCATTATTAATCTAGGTCGACACCACTATACGTCATTATTAATCCAAGCTGACAACACTATATTACATTATTAATCTAAGTCAACACCACTATACGTCATTATTAATCCATGCTGACAACACTATATTACATTATTAAACTGAGCTGACACCACTAAATTACATTATTAATCTAAATTGACACCACTATATTAAATTATTAATCTAAGCTGACACCACTATATTACATTATTAATCTAAGCCGACACCACTCTATTTCATTATTAATCTAAGCTGACCCCACTCTATTATGTATATTATTATGTCATGTTTACTGGAGGTAGTCTGACAACTTTCATATAGCTATAGCCTATTGCAAGTCAATGCCAAATTATCCGCCACGTATCACGGAGGTAGCTAATATTAGGTAGCCAAAAACTTACTTATTCTTATACCATAGCGTATTTAACATACATTGCTTGGTGACATAACGTCTTTACTGTAGCTAGTTTATAAGCGAGACATTAAATTTAGGTAAGACAGTTAGTATAGAGTCGTATTAATAACTAATCTGCTCATTCATCGTATTAATAACTAATCTGCACCGTGGAAAAAAGTTTTCTTTTCACGGTAAATATCTGAAATATCTGAATTATTACTTGCTTCTTGACTCTATTGTGATGATGTGTTTGTTTTTACCGGTATCTCCAGTAATCTTCAATATCTGCTTTTCTGCCAAAATTAAGTTAAACTCTGACGCAGTTTTCTAAATGGATTTCAAACTGCCTTGAATATGAAGAAACTGCCCCAAATACGAAGCTTTGAATAAATTCTTATTAAAATGCCTTAATTGATGATCACTTATTTTTATCCTGCTTAGCGCTTAACTTTTGATTATTTCTAGAAGAGGATTACCTCCAGCGTAGGTAATAAAACCCTACAAATGATCATTTAACAAATTATCTAGTCATAATTGAACAAATGATTTAAGCACCTAACAAATGATAGCTTCATCATTAATTAAAATTCTGGTCAGGGTGGCCCAGTGGATACAGTAGTCAGAATCGGCAAGGAGGCCGGGCGGTTAAGCACAGCAGAATTGTAGCAGTGAGTTGCGAGTTAGAGACCACAAAATGCTGTGAATGTTCTGCGATGTTAAGAATTGGCGACAGGCCTACGGCCTAATAAACGCTAAAACCGCTATTATTATTAATAAACTGATATGTCTTCTGAAAGGCATAGTTCACCTGGAAAGAGTGAAGCACGGCAAGGTTGAGCTCGACGAGCGCCTTGTCTTTCCACAGCGTCGCGTGGCTGCGTGTGTCCAAACCCATTTTACGAGCTACCACCTGTAAGAAATTTCCCTTGAGTTAAATATCGGTGAAAATATCTCTTTACTGTCATGCACAATATAGTAAAAACCACCACAAAGAACTTTGTTAAAGATTTGTGACGTAATCGAGTAGCCTTGTCTCTTGAGTAGAATTGCAAGTAACAGGAAAAATGACAATTTATTTAGCTATAGAAGGTACGTAAATATATTGAAGACAAATTTAACACCACACCACTATATTACATTATTAATCTGCGCTTACACCACTATATTACATTATTAATCTGAGCTGACACCACTATATTACATTATTAATCTGAGCTGACACCACTATATTACATTATTAATCTAAGCTTACACCACTATATTACGTATATTATTATGCCATGTTTACTGGAGGTAGTCTGACAACTTTCGTATAGCCTGTTACAGGTGAAAGCTAACTTATCCGCCACGTATCAGGGAGGTAGCTAATATTAGGTAGCCAATAACTTGCTTATTCATACCATTAGCGTATTTAACCGACATTGCTTGGTGACATAACGTCTTTACTGTAGAGAGTTTATAAGCGGGACATTAAATTCAAGGTAAGCCAGTAAGTACAGAGTAGTAGTAATAACTAATCTGCTCATTCATGCGTTACCGTGGAAAAAAGGCTTATTTAATTGTATACTACACTCGATAAATATCAGCACTAATGAAACCGTTTTAAAATTTTCTCTAGTCAATAAAAAAATTCTCATCATGTAATAAATGATATCATTAAATATATATAATGATCATTTAAAAAATAATCTTATCATACTTGAACAAATGATTTAATCACCTAACAAATGACAGTTTCATCATTAATTAAAATTCTGGGCAGGGTGGCCCAGTGGTTACAGTTCAGTGTACCAAGATTGGAGCAGAGAGGTGCGGGTTCGATCCCAGCTCTGTGCGCCAGTTTCTGGTCAGAATCGGCGAGGAGGCCGGGCGGTTAAGCACAGCAGAATTGTAGCAGTGAGTTGCGTGTTCGAGACCGCAAAATGCTGTGAATGTTCTGCGATGTTAAGAATCGGCGACAGGCCTACGTCCCACTAAACGCTGAAGCCACTATTATATTATTAAGCTGATATGTCTTCTGTAAGGCACAATTCACCTGGAAAGAGTGAAGCACGGCAAGGTTGAGCTCGACGAGCGCCTTGTCTTTCCACAGCGTCGCGTGGCTGCGTGTGTCTAGACCCATTTTACGAGCTACCACCTGTAACAAATTCCCCTAGAGCTAAATAACGGTGAAAAAATCTCTTCACTGTCATGCAAAGTATAGTAAAACCGCCGCAAGGAATCTTGGTTAAAGATTTGTGACGTGATCGTAAATAGGCATGTCTCATATAGAATAGCAAGTAACAGGAAAAAATGACAATTTATTTAGCTATAGGAGGTGGGTAAATATATTGAAGACAAATTTAACACCAGCACATACCACCTACCAGTGAAAACAAAAAGTCAAACTTCTTGGCTACCAGCTGTGGTAAGATATCCTGTCCTTATCAATGAATATTTCCATACAAATGTTACTCATAATTGTTTAATTTGAGATTTGGTTTAGATATCACACGAGTAAACACATCATCCAGTGACGCCTCTGAAACTTTGTTGCTGCAATGAAATTCATTCTTCATTGTAACGATTTGAAATGACATTTTTCTCTAACCCACGAAAGCATAAACTAAATATGTTAAAAAAGTTATACACGTCGGCCGTTTCTGTTGTTATCTCTTAGTAACGTGAATAGGGGAAGTAAAATCATTATATAAAACTTGTGCAAACTAAATGAAAGAGGTAATTGTAGAAATAACTAAATTTATGCGGGATAACTGTGCCATCACACTAAAGGTGTGACTTTAAATATTTATAAATAAATATTTATAGCTTTTCGTATTGATGTCCACTGATGTGGATATTTAGATCACGTGAAAGGAAGAATTCAACAAAACGGAACAACAAACATAGAAGAGTCTATGGATTAATAATCAGGGAGTTCAAGTTGTACGCCGTTAGCTATTTAACGCTGTCATTAATTTGAAGTTCACCAAACGTGCACCAGTTGAATTCCATTTGTACTTTGCTAATTTATACTTAATATTTTTAAGGGGACCCACTACCCTCCGGAAAAACTTCTACAGTTGTTATCCGATCATCATGAAACTTCACATACATGCGTAAAATGTAAAAATAAGAACATTTTGCTCATATGAATTTTTCGAAAATATTGATAGAAAACGTGAAATTCATAGAAAACGGCTAAAAAGGGGTACTTTAGAAAATCTATCTCCTCCTACAAATATCATCCTACAACATCGAGACACGTATCATTCTATTCGTAAAGACCATACCTATAGACTCTGTGATCACTTTTTTAATTTTCCCCTTAGTTTTTTTTAAGCACGTTTTATCCCATTTTTCCCCTTTTTCCCCCCTCCCCTCCCCCTTCTCCCCCATATAAAAAACGAACCAGACTGAAATTCAAAAAAGTGATCACAGAGTCTATAGATATGGTCTTTACAAATCGAATGGTATATGTCTCATTGCTGTAGCTTAAAAACTGTAGGAGGAGATAGGTTTTCCGCGACAGTAAGTTGAACTTTTCAAACTTTTCAGGACGGCGCGACAAAGTCCCGAAACAAAAAGTCAAGCTTCTTGGCTACCAGCCGTGTTAAGAAGTCCTGTCCTTATCAATGAATATTTCCACACAAATGTTACTCATAATTGTTTAATATGAGAATTGATTTAGAGATCACACGAGTAGACACATCATCCAGTGACGCCTTTGAAACTTTGTTGCTGCGATGAAATTCATTCTTCATTGTAAAGATTTGAAATGACATTTTTCTCTAACCCACGAAAGCAAAAACTAAATATGTTAAAAAAGTTATCCACGTCGGTCGTTTTCGTAGGTCTCTCTTAGTAACGTGAATAGGGGAAGTAAAATCATAAAAAACTTGTGCAAACTAAATGAAAGGGGGAATTGTAAAAACAACTAAATTTATGCGGGATAACTGTGCCGTCACACTACCTGCAACTATTTAAAGCTTTTCATATTGATGTCCACTGATATTTAGATCCCGTGAAAGGAAGAATTCAACAAAACGGAACAACAAACATCGAAGAGTCGATGGATTAAATGTCAGGAAGTTCAACTTGTATGCCGTTAGCTATTAAACGCTGTCATTAATTTAAAGTTCACCAAACGTGCACAAATTGAATTCCCTGTATAGTTTTCTAATATACACTTAAGGTTAATATTTTTAGATATGATGAATACGATTTAGTAACTAATTAAACAAACATCCAGTAAAACTCGCTCCAATTAAATCATTCAAAAATCATCAATTAAATCAACTAAAAATGAATTTAAATTTATTCAATTTGCCATGCAATCTAATGGTAATAAATTTAACACAAACCTAAATGTGTCCGGGTGCTAATGCCCCGTATTTCTAATTATTATACTCGCCTCAAGTTGATTATAACGCGCGACATCGCCGAGATCGCGAGCGCCGATTTCGGTCGCCATGTACCAGCCGTTGAAAGGCGCCGCGGGGAATTGGAGGCCACCGCAGTCGAACAGCATATTGGCAACCGCGGGCAGCGCGTACCACTGCAAACCAAGCTCGGGGAACCAGTCGAAGCTGAGGGGAAAGAGGGTTCAGGGGAACATAAGTGAGGGAAGGAAGAGGTTAACACATATTAGACGCGATGTACCACAGCAAGCCAAGCTCGGGGAACCAGTCGAAGCTGAGGGGAATGAGGGTTTAGGGGAACATAAGTGAGGGAAGGAAGTGATTAACAAAACATTAGACGCGATGTACCACTGCAAACCAAGCTCGGGGAACCAGTCGAAGCTGAGGGGAATGAGGGTTTAGGGGAACATAAGTGAGGGAAGGAAGAGGTGAAAAACATTAGACACGGTGTACAACTGTAACCTAAGCTCGGGGAACCAGTCGAAGCTGAGGGGAATGAGGGTTTAGGGGAACATAAGTGAGGGAAGGAAGAGGTTAACAACACATTAGACACGTGGTGTACCACTGCAAGCCAAGATCGGGGAACCAGTCGAAACGGAGAGGAATGAAGGTTGAAGAATGTCAGTGAGCCGTAATCGCAAGTAAATATAAGTAAAGGCCATGGTACTTATGGCTGAGGATAAGGCTCTACAAGCGGAATGTAGCTGCCGCAACAGATAGCAGGCGTATATGAAGCTGCAGTTCGGGCTGCATTTGATTGAATTTCTGCTCTACTGAAAGACAAAGGACGAGAAATGATGCACGTGTTTTGAACTAGCAAGGACACGCAGCAACGCAGCACGGTTGCGTCAGCTCAGACAACAAGCCAAATGAACATTTGAAAGCAATTTATCGAATTGAAAATGCCCAAAAAATGCATCAATAAACAACAGTAAAATAAGTGTAGAAGAACGATACCAAATAAAGTCGACGGTCTACGCAATATCCTCATATTTAGGATGCACTAACAGAGTAGGCAGCTCAAAAATGATAGCTTCTCTTTAATTATTATCTTCAATACGACGCGGTATTGAAAAATCTACGGCAGGAACATATCAGGTCACAGGAAATTCTATTTTAAAATTTAAATTTCAAGATGATGCTCATGTCTGTTCAAGAAATAGCCAATTTTTATTTATACGTCGCGCCAGCTGCATTCCCTAGAGCAAAATTCGCCGATATTGAGCTAACTGGTTAAATACATTATTCAATGTGAAGCACAGTAATAGAGATAACCTGGAACCTTTAGTCAAGTGAGAGTGGTTCTTGTGTTCAGGCTTCTAGATAATAATAGCTTTTACGACGGTCTACGTATCTATGACCAATTGATTAACAAATAAAAATTAAATCAAACAAAAGTATACCCACATTCGGCAGTTCTGTACTTGTTCGATAATTTCGGTTTATTAAAATTACTGTAAAAATCACCATGTGAAGCAAATAAACACATTAATCGCTAACATCACGTAGAAAAAAACGTCATTTCTCACTTTAGTTCAACGAGTTTACCTTGAAGAAATACATTTCTATGCAAAGAACTAGCATAAAATAGAAATTGTATCATTATTAAATAATGTGTGCAAATTTGAAGTACAAATTCTTTCGAGTAAAACTCAACGGAAATACTTGAAACCGTCTTAGATATTCTTCAAAATTATTCTTAAAATTTAGATTAGAAGCATAATTCTGAAAAAGAGTAAATTTCGTCCCCCCTGCAGATCGTCCACAAAAGTTGGCAATTCCGAATTTAAAAAAGTTAATACACCGGCCAACGAATTCAAGAATTCACGCAGCCGAAATATCCTGAGAACTAAGCTGCGTCGAATACAAGATTGCAGATGTTTTAAGAAAACTTAAGGTATATTTGCCTAGAACTTACTAGGAGATCGCAGGCTGTTTGAATGTCATGAACAGATTTCGCTGCAATCACGAACTCGAATGTTATCAACGCATCACAACTTTACCGAGCTCAGTGAAAGCTCGTCTAAAATCTACGTTGAACTGTACATATTTTATTAACTGAATCATGTCACATGGAAGCGGAACATTCAAGGCTGTAAAGGTTTCGAAGTGAAGTGTTTATATGTTCGGTTATGAAAATTTGTATGACGTCTTACTATAATTAACACACACAATTAAAAAACTTAGAGAAAAAAGAAGAAATGCCGACACTGGCAATGAAGGATGATTACATAATTGTACAGAAATAATGGCACCATACGATACATAAAATAGTAGAATAGAATGAATTGGCTGGTAAGGACTATAAAGGCGCAATTAAAAAACGGAAAAAATCTATAATTTTTCTTTTGAATTTTGACTTGACGACACATAAAAGCTTATTTATTAAAAAGGTCAAACGTTCTGAACACTTCATTTTTTCACTTCCTCAAAACACAAAGAAATAAAGCTGTTCACGGATTTGAAGTTAACTAATTGCATAAAAATGGGATGAAAATTTATGTCTTGAAAAGCATCAGGGTATAATATAGCTCTTCATAAGCAATGCGTAGACTATTGATTAACTCACTTGGGATGCGTTAATTTGATTTCGTAGACGAGGTCGGCCGGCAAATCAAACCACTCTGGGTCTTGGCCGTTGGCTGACAGCACCAGAGGCAAGACGTCGAACTGAGACCGAGTCTGTTTCTTCCAGCCCAACTGCAGGCAGACCTGTAAACCAAAGTAATTTTGCATTTTCAGGAATTCAGCTTATTTAGTAATCAAGTTTTTTGTAAAGACATCTCGCCAACAGCGTGACATCTACAGTAATTTAGCGGGTATTGTGAGATTTGTTTTGTGAAGTATACGAAATGATGCAAAAACATTTGTAATCGCAAATAGCGCGACAGATGCAAGTAATTTCGCCAGTATATCGAGCTTTTTTAAGCTAAGTATACAAAATTTTTCAAAAATATTCGTTATTGCAAATGGCGCGACAGATGTAAGTGATCTTGCTCGTATTGTGAGTTACATTAGGAGAAATTTACTTAGTACTAAGAAATCTGTAATGTGTTAACACATGCTGTCAGGACTACAGATACTATATCCGTTAAACTGAAACACGTATCAGAAATATGGGGCGGCAGCGCAAAACACAAATATTTTATTATAAAAACGAAAAAATTGCACTGAATCCGCAGATGCACGTTTGCTACTGTATGCGAGAACCAATAAATTGTATGGCTCGACGCAGGCCAGCAACAGAAAGTTGAGCGTTATATATCGGTTAAAATTTTCCGGCGGGCAATACTTAAAGCAATTTGATCGAATATAAATTCAAGGCACGCGCGCCAAGAGGCCTCTAGATGTCGCAGCAGTTCAAACTCAGCGTAGAGGCGGCAGAAATTTAGCACTAATACTTTGCTCAACATTGATACACAACCTAGAAATGTCAAGTTCTGACACATTTTCGATTTAAGCAAATTTGAAGTTTATTGAACACGTAATAAAAATTAAAAACGTTCCACTAACCTTAGAAATTTAACAAAACTAAATAAAACACTTCAACAAAGACATTCAGAGCTGAATTAGAGCATGTATAACAACAGTGAGCAAATTGTCAAGTTATTAAACAATCGCCTACAAGATGGGAACTGGACACATACTTTACCAACAGCTTAATTACTTATTATCATTTGCTTAATTACTTATTACCAACAGCTTAATTACTTATTACCAACAGCTCAATTACTTATTATCAATAGCTCAATTACTTATTACCAACAGATTAATTACTTATTACTAATAGCTCAATTACTTATTATCAACAGCTTAATTACTTATTACTAATAGCTCAATTACTTATTATCAATAGCTCAATTACTTATTACCAACAGATTAATTACTTATTACCAATAGCTTAATTTCTAATTACCAATAGCTTAATTACTTATTACCAATAGCTTAATTTCTTATTACCAATAACTTAATTACTTATTACCAATAACTTAATTACTTATTACCAACAGCTTAATTACTTATTACCAATAACTTAATTACTTATTATCAACAGCCTATTACTTATTACCAACATATCAATAAAACAGGACACAAAACTGAGGTCAGTAATAATAATAATAATAATAATAATAATAATGAGTTGGTGTTCGTAAACGAAACGAAATCAACTTGGGAGAAATAGATGATCATGGCCCAAATAATGAATCATAATTAATTTTTATATTAGTGCCGGCAGCAAAGTTATGTCACGTGGTTTAGCGAAATGGATTAGTGTTCACTCTGAAATCATAAAGATTTCACTCGACTTCGAGAAAAACGCGCAATTGATATCCCTGCCTTCATAAACTTGATATGGGGAAGGTAGGTTAAAAAATTTTGTCATTTATCTTGTAAGGGATTGGATAGGATGTATATTTTTCATTTTTGTTTTAGAGAGAGTTTGACGTGACCTTAACCGAATAGCGGAACCTAGTTTAGTCTTGTGGTTGCCGTCGATGTGTATAAAGGAGTCTCAGTTATAGTCTTGATTCAAGTAACCATCTCAGTAACACTTTAAGTCATTAGTTCTTATGTTTATACTTGTCAATAAAGATTACTAAGAAAACTTGTTCTCACTGTGGCTAATAGATGGACCTATATGATCACTTGGCTGAATAATGCAGGGACGAAGATGGCTTTGTTTTTCTTTTTTGTTGGAGTGCTTCCCTAGCAATCTCAATCATCTTCGTGAAAATCGGTAACCCCCGGTTAGGCTAACGTTCGTAGAGCAAATTGACTTGGATGAACGATTTATCATATTTCTACTTTTCTCGATTATTTGTACCGTAAAACTTGACGTCGACAAGGTAGCAAAACCTCCGACATGACGGAACACTCGATCCCTCACCTCAGTGAACTCGACGTTGAGAGGGTCGCCTAAGACGCTGTCGTCCGCATTCTTGTACCCTGCGTAGCTGATCAGTTGGTTGTTCCAGATGCGGAAATCGTGCATGCCATCCGTGCGTGGCGGAAAGACCGTTATGGCCGACCTGGTTACGAAGGAGAAAAACAAGTGACGATGTCATATAGATAAGGCGTGATGGTCACAAAAAACGGGAAAAACGTGATGCAAACAAATACATTAAGCGTGATGTAACAAACAGGTGTCGCGATAAAACGGATGCGTAGAATGATGACACAAACATGTGACGTATTGTAAAAAATAGTGACGTGATGTTTCGGACATGTCAAGCGATGTCACTAACACACTACGCGAGAAATAAGTCATCAAGAGACTATGTAGAGGAGCCATTTAAAAATTTTTCACATTAAAAATTCAAAAGTGGGCCATTTAAAAGTGAAAATGAAATTACGTATTGTTTGAGTTTCGTGAGCACATTTTTGAGCAGTTGCAAGAGCTCATGCACCGCGTTACCGCGCTCATTAACTCCGTTGTGAAGAATCAAAAAGGAGGGAACCACAACAAATGGAAGGACGTTTCAGAAATGCAAAAGCAACTGACCGTGACGAGCAAACGTAACCAAAGAAAAAATGCATCAAAAAATTCCAGTGCTGCGAATTGATGTCTTAGTTCTACCCGAGCACGAGGTGAAAAATCTAATTTCAATCAACAATTGATACATTGAAGAAGGCGGGCAGAGGGACGCTGTGTTCAACCTTTGAATTATTATCTCGCATCTGAATATGAAAAAACACGAGTTTATTCTCATTTCTACAACGAGAATACGGCAAAATGATCATTGACTCAAATAAAAAAGATCAATATAAATAAATAAAAGATCAATAAAATCTCGATTCTCTTATAACATCGCAGAGAATAAGTGTGAAAACATACATTATTTAAGCAATGAAAAGTCAACAGTTGGATACGTAAAAGTGACAAATTTCAGAACAGCAGAATTTAGTCGATTTGGCAATTATTTGGAGCATGTTTTTTACGCGTCGTTAGGCAAAATCTGTGACCTGTAGAGATTTTATATTTTTTCGTTGCGACTCTCACGAGCATTCAATTTGTTCGCTGTGTTCGTGTGGAAATAAAGTCGAGCCAAATGAAGAGCAATATGTACAGCGTACATCTCGAAATATATTTCCGCACATATCAAGCATATGGGGCATTTTCGCGTATGAGCGCGAATAATGTGAAAATATTTCTTATTTTTGCATATCTATACAACAAATACACGCAATTTCTAACATTTTGCATGAACGCCAGGCCAATAAATGTTAAGTTGCGGACTACTTTGTTTTGTGTCCATTCGAATGCTTCTGAGGGAACGTAAAGAAATACTCACCTGATGTAGCCTCTATTCGTAGCGTATTTGATGTGCGTGCAGATGAACTCACCTGATGTTGCCTTTATTCGTAGCGTATTTGACGTGCGTGCAGATGGACTCAAACATGCCACTGGCCGAAGTCACATAGCGGCAATCGAACACCTGAAGTATATAGAAAAATTATTTCTTTGGTAGGCATAAGAGAAGGAACACATCATGTAATAATATTGTAAAGGTAATAACAAATCCAAAGAAGGCGAACTGCTATAAAAAATTATCTCATCCGAACGATTAAAGGCAATTTTAGAAGCTTCATCATTGTATATTCTTCTGCAACTGTTTTTAAAATAATAAAATATCAAATAAAATCAAATAATAATGAGAAAATAAGTCAATATTTTGTACATTTTAACGCACTATGACTACCGCAATCAAACGAATATTTTAATTACTTTCAACAGGCTTTTGATAAAGCAATATAATGACATAGCAAATCGTCACGCTACTAGCTGTTAGTCGAATCTCGTCAAAAAAGTGATCTAATATCTTCAATATGGCATTAATTGCGTAGTGAATACGGGCTACATGAATTCAAATATGAACTTTCATTTCACATAACTGATTTTTTTGCTAAAGGGCATCGCGTTCTAGACATTGCTCCTATCATTTCTCTCAATGAGCAGATAACAAGACGAAATCCGGCGCAGTACAGCGAGGATGTCTGCTCATGTGAGCGACTCTCATTGCACTCATGACCCGCGGGGGCGACGGTTGCTCGGAGACACGCTTATTTCATTTGCATATCAAATATCACTCTAGGAAAAATTAACGGGTCAACCAGTACAAATAGTGACATACTTTCTACTCGTGCCACTAATACGCCATTTTTCCCGGTCTAACTGGGTCATGATGAGCCATGCAAGGGTAAAAATTCATCGATATTTGGACAATAACTCGCTCATTTTTGTGAGTGTACAGCGAGTAATGCTAAGAGCTCGCAAAATTATATAATTATAAATTATAAGCCCGACCCACGTTTTTTGGGGCGAGCCATAATTTATTTTCTACTTTTTAGTCCACAAGAAAAACGTGGTTTTTTAATTTTTTTTTAAGTATTTTATTTTCTCCTTTTTAGTCCGTTGCTACACATGGAAAACGTTGTTGCGAATATTGGCGGAATATTCATTTTATTTCAGTTGGCCACGCAAATGCACGAAAGAAAATTATTTTCGAAGTTCTGTAGAAAATTGTATTCGAGGGGATACATTGTTGTTCAGTATTCCATTTCATACATTTCATTGAATAAATACGCCTGGAAACGTGCAAAATATTACTGATTGTTGTATTGTCATCGGGAGCTGAGCTTCACTAAAAGTTTCAGAGCGCTAGCTAGCGGGAAAGTTGATGAAATATCGATTGCAAGATTTGATCATCACAAACAGACAGACGGATACGAAAGCGAGCTAAGAAAAACGTGGTAAAAATGAGTGGGACTTTGACCAAATAGCGACGCACTCAACCCTTGCGTGGCTCAACCTGACCCAGTTTGACCAGGTAAAAGGGCGTGTCAGTGCTACGTACAAAAAGTGTGTCACTATTTGGACCATATGATACAGTAAATTTTTTGAATGCAAGGCAAGCATGTCAGTTAAATTTCTTAACATAAAATCATGGAATGAAGGTCAAAATTAAGAGCCATTCACTGAGCTGAAATAAATGGAACCAGCAAATCGAAATGAACGATCAAATTTAAACATAATCAAATTACTCGGATAAGAGAGAAAAATACACGAGCGCTGAGTCCCATGGCAATACTTTTAATGAACCAGAATATATTCCATGGAAATAAGTGGACAACTGCACCCATAAAAGTTGACGAGAAGTTGATTGAGTTGTTATACATTCGGCAAATTTTAAACTTGGAAAAATGGAAAATGGACGAAATCCTTGAAGAAAATATGTTGAGCGATTGACAGTAGGGAATACCCAGCGATGGAGACATACCAACAGAGCACAAAAACCTTCTCCTCCAGCACCCCTGCACACTTCAATGCCATTTTAGCTGAAATACCACGAGTCAAATGACGTCGAAACAATGTTGATTTAACGTAAGATGTTTGATGAGGTCGCACACTCAGTCCCTCTACAGACCACAACACTCTACCACATTCAGACTATATTTCATTAACGATGATTCAACGACATGTCTTGTCAAATATCAGACTCGGTCCCAATACAGACCACAACACCCTTCCCCTCTCATCCTCCTACAGACCCCAAATATTTGACTGCAACAACCTCTCTCCCCCAGCCCCCCACAGACCACAACAAAACATGACAAGACGACATTATTGTACACCGTAGAACGTTATGATGTAACATGACAAGACGACATTATTGTACACCGTAGAACGTTATTGTGTAACATGACAAGACGACATTATTATGCACCACAGAACGTTGTTATATATGTATCATGACAAGCCAACATTATTATGCACCAAAGAACGCTATTAAGCAACATGACAAGCCGACATTATTATGCACCACAGAACGTTATTATGCAACATGACAAGCAGACAGTATTATGCACCATAGAACATTATGATCAAATATACCATGAAATAATTACTTAGCCTGGAACGTTATTATGTAACACGACATGACAACTATGTTAAATAAGTGGAGATGACAGTTTCAGCGCTGGCTTACAAACAGTTTTCGATGCAAATATCATTAATTTCCACATAATATTTATTGTTATTTAGCTTAATAACCTTCTGAATATCCGGGTTTAGTATACCCTCTGTTTTGGCTTACTTCAGTGGCTACCGTTAAATCCGCACACAGCACTATTTTTACAATTTTTCACAGTGCAACATAATAATTCCAAACGAACAAGATTTTACGAATTCTAATCCGTGCACTATATTAATAATGCTGGTTATGTGTTACCGGTCATGAGAAGAATGTATTTCATATGCAAGATAGTCTAAAAAATCGTAGGTTGAATCTACCGCAACATCTATTGCGGTCTACTCGTAGGTTGAATCTACCGCAACTTCTATTGCAAGTTCAGGGTCAGCACTTGGTACATAGGACAAGCTTCGAAAATATTCCGTGGTTAGCTCGCCATACTTTTATGGATAATTTGTAAAATCTTACACGTCATACACATTTGAAAACCCTCAGGAAAACACATTGGGTTAACCACTCACGCTTGATGTTTTTGGTTGCGGTATAAGACAATTTCAAGAATTTTCCTAAAAAATTTGCAATGTACACGAGCTTCTCAGTCATTAAAGTAATTGATGTCTGCATAAGTAATACACTCAAACAAACCAATTTCATCATTTTTTGAAAACGCTCCGATTACCGAAAATGTAGCCGTATTTAAATTTCCAATGGTAACGACTAGGAATTGATATCGAAGTGAATTACTGATTTTTAAAACCTAAAGAATCTTTTTATTTCCTAAAAATCTGCAGATAAAAAACAATATGAAAACTAAAATTGAAAGAAGATGAAATTTTAAATTAATTTCTTAGCCTATTTTTTGTTCGCGATTAAACATGCACAACGAAAACGTCGAATAAACAACGCTCCAGGAGGCTTATTAATCATTGAATCAATTATTATCCTCAATTGTTAAACGTACAGCACAGTTTTATAATATCTCACACTGGTTGGTGATCATACTTATTCATGTTCTACGAATACATGTAACGATAAAATAGTTATTCGTGATTAATAACTCGTCCGCAAATACGTGATTAAAACATGTTGAAAAATATAACTCAGTACTCACTGCAGTGAGTGACAGAGTCGACATTTTCTCGTCGACGAAAACATGAAGTCACGGACGGACAGACAGACGGACGGACATGAACACAATAGCGTCTTTTTTCCCTAAATGAGAAAATGCGTTAAAAATGGGCAAGCTCCAATGTAATCGCAGAATTTTGGTAATAACGTGAAAAATATTTCCGGTTTTGGGAACACAATTTCCAAATAAAATTTTCAACGCTCCCAGAAAACATTACTGCATGGACCCACGCCATGAAAATTTCCTACCTAAATGTTCAGCTACGGCAAATAAATCAAGTATATTTATAAAAATTCGTGGGGCTTGGGTTTCAAGAGTTGGTTTTCTTGTTTTGGGAGCAAGAAACGACACTTTTGGACCTCAAAATAGGAAAAATGGATGGCCGAACTTGTCGCTGAATGAGTTGCATCATCACCTATGATGGATTGCCTTAGCGGGAGCCGCAACGACAGCAGAAGTATCTAGAGGCATCAGGTGGAGTATATAAGATTAATATGGCAGCTGATGAAGAAATAACTGCAGCATGAGAATGACCAGCGAGAAAAGATAGAGGAGCTGTAATAGCAGCATTGAGTTGAAATTAGAGGCAACAACATGATAAAATAAACTTATTTGCATTTAAAAGTATTGAATTACCTCTCTACTACTCACGCAATCAATGGTCGACCTTTTAGATATAAAATTTACCTCCAGTCTTAATAACAAAATCTATCAGCTCACATACATCTGGAGATCTTACTTCGTGTCAGTGACAAGTTTCAGTGCGAGTGGCTATATTGAGTTGCTCACTGCATGAGAACCATATTGGTGTCATATGCATGAGTTGCTTATAAGTTCTGGGCGCCATACAACTAATGACCGGCCATTAATAACCTGCCCATAACTTTCTGAGTAATTAATAACAAATAATAATAACAAATGAAAGAAATTAGCCCTGAGTCACCCCCGAGAAAAAGAATCTTGAATGAGGCGAGGGAGCCGCTCGTTTACTATACATGCTTCCCGCATCGCATGCAGTACCGGAGGAACTCCCAACCAAAGACAATATTTTCTCTTCTCGCAATGATCGTAACGCCATAGTTACAAAAAATATAGCTCAGTACTCACTGCAGTGAGTGACTGAGAGCGAATTTTCTCGTCTACGAAAACGTGAAGTCACGGACAGACAGACGGACGGACGGACAGGCTGACATGGCGAGCACAATAGTGCATTTTTACCATAGATGAGAAAATGTGCTTAAAAGATACCTAACAACTAGAGAACAATAGAAGATACCTGTAAATAGTCTCCAAATATGGACATAAAACCGATGTTATAAAGATGGATGCTAACTTCACA